CTCCCCTGGTCCCCCCCCCCATGCTATGCGCTTTCCCCTCCAGACCTTTCTCGACTCCTCCTTGGCTGGCTCCACACCCTCTTTGAGTGCTCGACTGCATCCTTGAACTACCGTATTTTTCGCACGATTGGACGCACCGGACCATAGGACGCACCTAGTTTTCAGGGGAGGAAATCAAGGAAAAAATATGATTCCCCCCCCAGCTCTGGGAGCAGTGGACAGGCTGCATGCAGCCTGTGCGCTACTCCAAGACCTTCTCCCTGCTTTTGCGGGAGGTGGCGGAATTCCCCCATCTCCCGCAAAAGCCCGCAGGAGGGAGAAGGGACTGACTCGGCCAGTCAGTCCCTTCTCCCTCCTTGGGAAAAGCCCCCAAGAGCTGCGCGCTCTGTAAAGGCTGCGCGGCTCTTGCAGGCTTTTCTGTGAGGTGGGGGAATCCCCCCACCTCCTAGAAAAGCCAGCAAAGCCGTGCAGCCCCTTTAAAGAGCGCACGGCTTTTGCCTGCTTTTGCGGGAGGTGGGGGAATTCCCCCATCTCCCGCAAAAGCCCGCAGGAGGGAGAAGGGACTGACTCAGCCAGTCAGTCCCTTCTCCCTCCTTGGGGAAAAGCCCCCAAGAGCCGCTCGCTCTTTAAAGGGTGCGCGGCTCCTGCAGGCTTTTCTGCGAGGTGGGGGAATCCTCCCACCTCCTAGAAAAGCCAGCAGAGCCGCGCAGCCCCTTTAAAGAGCGCACGGCTTTTGCCTGCTTTTGCGGGAGGTGGGGGAATTCCCCCATCTCCCGCAAAAGCGCGCAGGAGGGAGAAGGGACTGACTCAGCCAGTCAGTCCCTTCTCCCTCCTTGGGGAAAAGCCCCCAAGAGCCGCTCGCTCTTTAAAGGGTGCGCGGCTCCTGCAGGCTTTCTGCGAGGTGGGGGAATCCTCCCACCTCCTAGAAAAGCCAGCAGAGCCGCGCAGCCCCTTTAAAGAGCGCACGGCTTTTGCCTGCTTTTGCGGGAGGTGGGGGAATTCCCCATCTCCCGCAAAAGCGCGCAGGAGGGAGAAGGGACTGACTCAGCAGTCAGTCCCTTCTCCCTCCTTGGGGAAAAGCCCCCAAGAGCCGCTCGCTCTTTAAAGGGTGTGCGGCTCCTGCAGGCTTTTCTGCGAGGTGGGGGAATCCCCCCACCTCCTAGAAAAGCCAGCAAAGCCGCGCAGCCCCTTTAAAGAGCGCACGGCTTTTGCCTGCTTTTGCGGGAGGTGGGGGAATCCCCCACCTCCTAGAAAAGCCAGCAGAGCCGCGCAGCCCCTTTAAAGAGCGCACGGCTTTTGCCTGCTTTTGCGGGAGGTGGGGGAATTCCCCCATCTCCCGCAAAAGCGCGCAGGAGGGAGAAGGGACTGACTCAGCCAGTCAGTCCCTTCTCCCTCCTTGGGGAAAAGCCCCCAAGAGCCGCTCGCTCTTTAAAGGGTGCGCGGCTCCTGCGGGCTTTTGCGGGAGATGGGGGAATTCCCTCACCTCCTAGAAAAGCCAGCAGAAGCCACGGAGCCTCTTTAAAGAGCGCGCGGCTTTTGCCTGCTTTTGCGGGAGGTTGGGGAATTCCCCCATCTCCCGCAAAAGCCCACAGGAGGGTTGGAGAGTAGCGGGAAGGCGTCGCGCGCCTTCCTGCTGCCCCCCATCCTCTGGGGCTGGCGATGGGGGAAGCGCTGCTTTCCCCCGCCAGCCTCAAAGAGCAGACTCTCCTGGCTTCAGCGGAAGCAACGGGAAGCCTCCGGAGCGCAGGCTTCGGAGGCTTTGCCTTGCTATCGCTGAAGCCAGGGAGCCTGCATTCGCTCCATAGGACGCACACACATTTCCCCTTAGTTTTTAAGACGGAAAAACTGCGTCCTATGGTGCGAAAAATACGGTATGTTCTCATTTGCCTGGATAGAGGATTGTACTGGTTTATTTGGGGGGGGGGATACAGCCCATGCACTGCACAAAGGGAAGTTACATGCATCGTTCCACCTTCCTTTGCCCCATCCATCACAGGCACACAGAACTTGATAGAGCTTCAAAGCTTGCTATCAAATGAAACATGCACTGCAGCAAAAGTACACTTTATTAACAGCAAGTTGTATTTTATTTTCAAAACTCGGACGAGACAGTCTTACTGTGAAGCAATATTTTGTCGCATTATTCTCCTATTAAGGCTTTCGAGTTAGCTGCTTCTTTAAAGACGTTACAAAGCCAAACTGTATTGCCTAGAGCAGGGCTTGTCAAACCTTCCACAGACCACTGGAAAAATGTTAAGAGGTTTTGCTGTACCACTTAATAAAACTTGCTTTGGACGAATGAAAGCAGAACTGCAGCTTACTTGAATAACGAGTGTCTTATTTCTGTTTTTCAAATGAGGAAGGTTGTTTACAATATGTCCGGTTTCGCCCATGTGATGCTTTTGCCCCTCTAGCATCTAAGTATTTACAACCCCTGTCTCAAGAGTATTGTGAGAAAACTAGAAATGTGGCCAAATATGCATTCGATTCCTGTTACATAGAACAGTGGTGGCGGGATCAGATCAAACACCATCACCCTTTTTTGCTGCCCTGTTTCTTTTAACTTGGCCCAACCTTTTCTACTGATTCTTAAATGTTGAGAGAAGGCCAGAATACTGTTGCTTGATGGCCATTTCACACACTGTGTTTGAAGCTATGGTCCTGTTTTCAGCCGATTGCAACAGAAACGTATTAGCCTGCCCACGTACCGTGCCCCAACATTTGTCAAGAAGTAATGATATCTGGAGCTTTTTGAGTGTGCTCGACGACGAATCGAAGTTGGCTTGTGCGTGAAACAGCCCTAAGACAGGAATGCCAAGCACGCTTCTATGGAAGCTGTCTTGGTTTCAATGAACACCTAAGTTTTGAATTGGCAATGTTAATACGAACGAATGTATTCCCCACCCCATTTGACACTTGGAACTACAATCCCACTAGAAATCCCAGGAAAGTGAAATGTGGAAGCCTTGCTGACTGACGCACGAGCTTAAAACACTGGCAAACTTCTGATCGTTTTCAAGTCAAGTGCAATTTACAGAAAAATTCATACCGGAAGAGTAAAGGAAGAGACATGGGGTGGCGAGTTTCATGCTACCCAGACTCTGTATGGTATGCAGATTCTTTCACTTCTGCTAGGTATTCTTTGTTGAAAAGACTGTGTGAGAATTATTGTTCAATTAATTCACCGAGAGACCAAGGCAGAGCACAGAAAGCCGCAGTGATCATGCTAGCAGTATAATCAGTATCCTGTCCAAGAACTCAACATATTTATGCCATGGGAACATTAAAAATTATGCACTAGTAATGGATCGCTCCAATCCCTTCTTAGCTAAAGACAACTTAAGAAAGATTCCACAGGGATCTGTTATTCCCCCTGTGCCTTTTACTGAACAAGCGAGTTTTGCAAAATCCACATTGTTCTCCATTTTCTGAACAAATCTCAGTTTCATCAAGAATTCTACAGAAGTCTTGCATTTGGTCGCATATTATTTCCACCTTGTTTGTAATCGTATGTATTTTGTTTGTTTGTTTATCTTCTATACAATTTCATTTTGGAAGCTAACTTAAAGCCAGACATATCCTTGTTCAGTTGGTAGTAGTCTTCATCAGGACTTGATTCCAGAATGCACTGTACCTAGGATTAAAAGTACTGTAATGCTGAGAAAAATGGCACCCATGAAGCTTCCAAAGCAGAAATGCAACCCCAACCCCCTAAAAGTGAGCAAAGATTGCAAAGCAGATGTGCTTGGCTCACGACAAGGTTCTATACTTAGGCAGGAAAAAACCAGCTGCACACATATCAGTTAAGGAACACCTGGTTTGCCAATAGTACAATGCAAAAAGGATCTAGGGCAGCCTTTCTCAACCTGTGGGTCCCGCAGATGTTGTTGAACTACAACTTCCATCACCCCTAGCTAGCAAGGCCAGAGCTCAGGGATGATGGGAGTTGTAGTCCAACAACATCTGGGGACCCACAGGTTGAGAATCACTGATCTAGGGGTTTTGGTGGACCACAGGCTTAATCTGAGTCAACCATGTGAAGCAGCAGCAAAAAAGCTAATGCTATTCTAGGCTGCATCAACAGAAGTTGAGTGTCCAGATCAAGGGAAGTAACAGTACCATTCTATTCTGCCTTGGTCAGACCACACCTGGAATACTGCATCTAGTTCTGGGCAACACAATTTAAGAAGGATGTTGACAAGCTGGAAGGTGTGCGGAGGAGGGCAACCTAGATGATCAAGGGTCTGGAAACCGAGCCTTATGAAGAACAGTTGGGAGAGTAAGTTTAGGCCTGGGGATGAAGAGACTGAGAGGAGATATGAGAGCCATCTTCAAATATCTTAAGGGCTGCCACATGGAAGATAGAGCGAGCTTGTTTTATCCTGTCCTGGAAGCAAGGACCTGAACCAATGGATTCAAGTTACAAGAAAGGAGATTCTGACTAAACACCAGGAAGAGCTTTCTGACAGTCAGAGTTGTTTGACAGTGGAACAGGCTCCCACAAGAGGTGATGGACTCTCCTTCCTTGGAGGCTGCATGGCCATCTGTCATGTATCATTTAACTGAGATTCCTGCATCACATGGGGTTGGACTAGATGACCCTCGGGTACCCTTCCAACTCAACAATCCTATGATTTGAAGGTAAAATTACATAACTTTACATCACAGTTAATGTCTGTCCCTTTAGCTTTTATACCCAATGCCAAATATTCTCCCCATCACAATAGTTTGGGAACTCTCCAGAGCAGATTGGGAGGCAAATAGGAGGGAGGAGAGAAATCAGAAATCTACTTTCACAAGTGGATTTCTACTGCTCAAGCAGGCGGTTAACACTGCGTAGCGTAGAACCTAATATTACCAAGGCCCATCTGCTTTTGTCTTTAACACTGGTTCCACAGGCAGCAGAATAATAAATTCTAGCATCTTTAATCCCTTGCTGAAAGTTTTCTGCTTCTGCCCAAAATATTCCCTGGTCTCTGGGATTCATAATTTTTCCAATATACAATTGAATAATTTTTTATTTCATATATACAACAAGATTATTCAAGGGAATTACTATTCAAAACACCATCTTTTACATGGAAGAAGCTTTTACATGCAAGCACTCAAGTGTTACTATGCAGTCCCTAGAAACTCATGTATTCTTGACCACCATCCCTTTTGTTCGAGGCATCCAGGAATCTAACATTGTTTACACCCTGCCACACATCAAAAGTAAAATAGCTGTATTCATGATTCTCTCTCATCACATCTCACAATCTCAACTAGCCTGCCAGACTTCTCCAGTTGTATACTGGGCTTGACAATAATCACGTCCAAGGAAACAAGCGACCTTCGTTTCCTTTAAACTGCAAAGTCCAGCCACAGTGGAAGGGAGTGATTTACATTTAACCAGAAAATGTTAGAGGAGGGAATTATGTTCCACATGTAGGCCAAAGAGCCAAAGAATTATGGGAATGCCAGGAGAACCGCTGTTTTGCGGAAAAAGCAGTTTGTCCCCCTGACAGTGGACAAACAACAGACACAATCCCCATTGTGCACATGGAAGGCTGCCCCATGCATGTATCTTGTTTCTTAGGAACTTAGCTATAGCCTTGTATGCTTTTCCTCTACTTACTGGGCAGAGCAAGGGAGCAGAGTCAAACGAAAGAACTTATCGTATCAGATTCTACAGTACCTTCCTGATTCTGGGACTGATGCAACCCGAGGTGCTTCGCTGATTAAGACGCACTTAGTAAACATGGCTGTGCACTGGTAGAAAAAGCTAGCAGCACGTTCATGTTTTCAACACACAGACCTACATCCCTGGTTTGGCTAAGTGGAAGCAGTGCGTGATAACTGGATGAGAAATGGTGGTTTTTAGGGCTGGGCGATATCTGGTATTCAACATCGTGATATACCCCGATGTCGTGATATACCCCAATGTCCTGATATATCACGATGTCTGAAATAACACTGAAGAAGGCTGAAAATGCAACTGGGCTGTGAAGGGAGGGAGGAGCGACCAGGAGGAATGGAAGGAGGCTGCCCACTTGCTCGGGCAAAGGGACTCCTGCCCACTCCCTTCCTCCCTCTACAGCCCAGCCCTGGCCTCGGGACAGGGAGCCGAGAAGGTGCTCTGCTTGCCTGCGCGTTTTGCCTTTGCCCGAGCAAGTGGGGCAGGCGCCTCTTTCCTCCCGGATTGTCGCAGGAGGAACAACTAACCAGAAGGAAAGACGCAGCCTGCCCCGCTTGCTTGGGCGAGGGCAAATACGCAGGCGGGCGAGCACACAATTTGAGCTGGCGATACATCATGGCTCCCCGGCCACAACCAGCACAGTGCAGGAAGATGGGAACGATGTCTTGCCAGCTCTGAAAGTCCAGAACCGGGATCGCGATCTGAACTTCATAACGGTTTCAGACGCTGAATTGAAATATCGCCCACCTCTAGTGGTTTTATATACTTTGGGTATCACATAAACAAAACACGGGGAAAGAGAACAGAGCTCAGCCTACACTGACAACATCATTGGAGATGTTTTGGTTTTAAAATTGCCAACTGACGACATGCCCTGACGCACAGCTACCCTTCCAAAATAGATTTTAAGTGTCACACTCACAACACTTAACTGAAAACAAGGTCAAATCAGTTTGGCACCCGAATGCCCTTAAATGCTCATTTTAAAGACATCATCACAGAATAATATACTTTTTTTTTTAGGTACAAAGGCAGCCAATTAGTATTGATTTGTCTTCTCCTCTCTCACTAATGGCTGATAGTTTTAGTCAGTTCTGTCAAGGAAAGAAGGTTTTTTTTATGAGTGTGTCTCTAGAAAATACTGTTTTATAATTTCATTATAAGAAATTGTGGCCACTTACACATCAAGACATAAAAGTGGCAAAACAAAATATTAAAAGGTCTTTTTTCAAAAAACAATCCCTGTAACAGAGTTAAAAGGCCAGTGCTTTTATCTGAGCCATTCAGATCTGCAAAGTTGATAGCAACCACTGATATATTGCTATTCATGATAAAATCAGATCTGAGCATCAACCATGCATGCAACAGAATGCTTTACAGTGATTTTTAGTATCCCACGGGAGACAAGGGTATTCCTAATAAGATTAAAGCAGATTCCTTCTAGAATCAATCAATTGTAAACATTGCAACTGTGCAGATTCTTTTTCAAACTTGGATTCATAAAATTAAAAAAGGCAAGGTTTAGTAGTAGCAGAAAAACATCCAGTTTCACATTCAGTAACACACAATAATCCCCCTCTCCTAAAAAACCCCCAAAAACATAGCAGCACATTTTCCAACAAAAAGACAAGTGTGTTTCTGGAATACCCTCTCTCCCAAAAACAAACACTCAAAATAAAGTGCAGTACCCATAAAAATAAGTTTAGGAAATTTGCCACATTCTTCTTTTTGTTAATAAGAGAACTTGGGCTCAGTCTTAGGAGTACTATACTGTATCCATCATTTTAGGTTCGTCTTCGTCTCTGTGTACCACTGAGTTCAAACTGCAGCCCTGAAGTGAATCTGCATTCTGTAACCAAGAAGAGAACAAGAAACAAGTCAGCTGAAGACAGGAACTAGACACAAAACTCCGGTTTGAGTCGCAGAAAACTTCCTGCCTCCTAATCACCTGTAGGGTTGTGAACAGTTTATTTTGCAACATTCACCCGTAGTATAGTCGCTATCCATTCTCATAGTATACTAGCAGTCTCCCTGTTTTCGTCTTCTGAGCAATTACTAGCCACTGCCCAGAGCTAAGCCAGGAGCTTCGTGCAAGGCTACAAAACAGTTCTTTTGATGCAGAATTCAGAGCCAGCCTTGCACCGATTAAGAAACATGGACAGGGTAAGAAGCAACAGCAACGTCCAGAGAAGGCTGAGACTTACTGCATACATCTTCAAGGCAAGTAATCTGAGGAAATCCTCAAGAATCTGATGAGAGCCACTTCATTCAATAGTTTCATATTGGCTACCGGAAAGTTCATGCGTGGGGCGATGGCTAACATGAACTGAGTGGGGAGAGACAGATGGTGGCTGGAAAGTTAAAACTGAACTGAATAACTCCATGGACTGGAAAAATAGAAACAGGGGCATATGTGCTATAGGTCTTAGATCAGCATGACCTAAGTTCAAATCTCTTTTCAGACACAAAGTTCACTGGATGAGTCACTATCTCTCAGCTAAACCTACCTGATGGGGAAGATATGAGGATAAACGGGGGACGGGATGACCCTACGTACCATTCTGAGTGCAGAAAGTGCATATATATGCACTTGAGAACTAATGAACCAGTAAGCTATGTAGTAAGGATTCATAACCTAGAAATGTCAGTCTGCTGAAGCCAGGAAAGACATCCCCCCCAACTTGACTCCAAAGCATCTGTATTAAGGTAAAGGACCCCTGGACGGTTAAGTCCAGTCATAGGCGACTATGGGGTTGCGGCGCTCATCTCGCTTCAGGCCGAGAGAGCTGGCATTTGTCCACAGACAGCTTTCCGGGTCATGTGGTCAACAGGACTAAACCGATTCTGGCGCATGGAGACCATGACGGAAACCAGAGCACATGGAAATGCCGTTTACCTTCCCGCTGCAGCGGTACCTATTATCTACTTGCACTGGTGTGCTTTTGAATTGCCAGGTTGGCAGGAGCTGGGACAGAGCAACAGGAGCTCACTGTTCCCTGTGCAGCTGTTTAAAACCCGTCTACTCAGTTTGCCTGCTTTGGTCTGTGGCTAATATGGACGCGGGTGGCTCTGTGGTCTAAACCACTGAGCCTCTTGGGCTTGCTAATCAGAAGGTCGGCAGGGATTTGAACCGCGTCCATATTAGCCACAGACCAAAGCAGAAAAACTAAGTAGACGGGTTTTAAACAGCTGCACGGGGATTGATGGGTCTGGTTTCACATGGCTCATCCTACGGCCACAATTCCCAGAACAGACAGATGGAAAATGAACCTTATTCTACGTTCCCATGCAATGAATGTGCAACACAGCTCACCTGTGATTTGGGGACTAAACGTAATTCAATACACCTCTGGGATGGTGCTATTTGAGTACAGATGGCTGGAAGCAGTACTGTACAGTCCAGTTATACACACTGGATACAAAAGTCTCTTCGCTTGAATAAGTGTTAGTTTTGCCATTTTCAGCACACAGAAAATTTTTTCTAATATTTTAGGTATATTACCCCCTCTTCTCTCCCCCAAACCATTTTAAGGTAGGAAGAGGAAACAAACATTTTTCTAGCAAGGCGCTCAAAGGAAAGGATGACAAAAGTACCTTAAGCCAGCTATCCATTCACTATAAAAAAGTTAAGACTTACCTGTGGAAAGGATGCAAGCCCTCCTATACAATTGAAATCAGGATAAAATGAAGGATTCTGAGCAGGATTAGCTTGAAAGTTCTGAGACTGCGAACAAAACCTCACTCTTGATTTGAATGCTTCAAGTTCATTTTTAAAAGCCTCCAAATAGCCTTCTTCTCCCGTCTGTCAAACAAACCAACAAGCAATTAAATAGGTTTTTTTTCAACCTCTGCTGGGAAAAAAAAATGCAACATACAGTGACATCTGCCTGCTTGCCCAAAGGGACTTCCAGTTTGTCCCTCTCCCAGTTTGTTCTTCTCCCCCACAGCCCCCTGCATGCTTCCCAAATCTGCCCCCAACCCTTAAAAGCAGATTTTGAGTGTGTGGGAGAATGCACAGAAGAGGAGAGGAAGGGGAAATCCCTTTGCAGGAGCAGGTGCTTGCTCATCCCCTAGGCTGGATCTCATCCAAAGTTTCTGTGGCCAGGAAAGTTATAAATAAGCTTAATTATCATAGATAACATAGATGTGCAAACAACACACAATTTCTCACAATGTGCATGCTTTGTTCTCCATTTTTTCTGTTACCATTTTTCATACCCCCCCCTTTTGCTTGTCACAGTGGGGAGCAAGTGGCTATGCGAGCCAGTGAAGCCCCAGTCCAAATCTTACTCAGGCTCCCCAGGGGCTTTTGTGATTTGCACAGCTGTTGCCAATCTCCCGATAAAACAGCTTTCAAAAATTAAAGTCCGAAACATGAACCTTGAGACTGCTAGGAAACTGAATTCTGCATCCCCCCAAAGAATGTCTGCAAACCCACAACATCCTTGATTTATGTACAGTCTATTTACATGAGTACAGGGCAAAATGAGAAGCCCATTTTTGTTTTCTTTCTAATGTTGAATTCATTCTTTTTGTTGAATTGTTCGTTTCGTCCTATTATATATTTTTGTAAAAGAGCTGCAAGCCGCTTTAGGCACAGCTAACTGCAGAAAAGTGGTATATAACTAACCTAAAACCAAAAGTAAATAGTTGTTGTTAAGATAGAGCCTGCAGCGGAAAAAACAAACATAGCAATGACTTGTAGGAGAACTCCTTAAGATTTGGAAAAACCATACAAGGGCCCCCAATTGGGATTTTAGCCTTTGTCATTAATTTATCATTTGTGCACTGAAAGAAGAATGGATGTCCCCATACACTGCATGGATATCTGCAGATTCTCACTTTAAAGCCGGGGAAAATTTCTACAAGTTCATTTGACAGCAGAGACCCACTACTTAAAGCAAATCAGATGATTTCACAACACTCCATGGGGCCAGCAACAGGTGAATATATTTAGACATCGGTTTCCTTCACTGCGCTCAGTCCAAAAGGCAGAAGTATATTTAGAGCAGTGCAACAAAGAGCACTTAAAAAAAAGGAGTACATGTCTACAGCCCCAATCCAAATCCGTTAAACATCTAACTCAGGCATAAGCAAACTCGGCCCTCCAGATGTTTTGGGACTACAATTCCCATCCTCCCTAGCTAACAGGACCAGTGGTCAGGGGTGATGGGAATTGTAGTCCCAAAACATCTGGAGGTCTTTTTAGGTCTTTGTTAATTTGTCGCCACAGGGGCTTGTAGTTGTGACCTAAAAAGATGGAACAACATGAATTTCACTTTCTCAGACAAAATTGCCATGATCAAAATGATCACCCTCCCAAAACGAACCTACCTATTTTCCAAACCCTCCCAAACTGGATCCCCCCCCAACCCAACTCTGCAGTTGGCAGAGAAAACTACACTTTTATCTTCTCACATAAAAAACCAAGAATAAGCCCCAAATACCTGCACATCCCCACCTCAGAAGGAGGATGGGGAATCCCCAGCATAGAAGCATATTACATTGCCAACCAAATACGCCATATAATCCCATATATACTAGAAGACGAGACAAAACAATGGGTACACCTAGAGAGGGACACAATTGAAAATACCTGCACCACAACATACCCACTCCTCCCAAACAAACTCAAGAAAATTCCCACAACACTTAACAGGTACACACAGACCATGCTCAAAGCATGGAAAACAGAAATAGGCAAACTATCCCCAACCCCATCCCCACTAATCTCCCTGACGTACCACCCATTATTCCACCAAGCAGCACAAAACCTCCAGATAAAAACCTGGCAAACCAAAGGCTTATATCACCTAACAGACTTTTATAAAAATAACAAACCTTTATCAACACAAGAAATACAAGACAAACTAGAAGACACCCAAATGCCCTGGTTAACACAACACCAACTACGTGCCTTCTTAAACAACCCAACAGTAAAATCAGCAGCAACTAGGCCCCTGACAACCTTCGAAAACCTCCTCCCAACAACAAAGGGAAATGGTAAAGGGATGGTATCCGCAATAAACAAAATACTATTCCAAAATCCCACAAACCCCCTAGACGCAATCAAAAAACAATGGGAGAATGACATAGGCTATGAGATTAACTCCACTCAATGGACCAGAATGTGGTCTAAACCCCCCTTTAAATCCATATCAACGAAAAGAAAAGAACTCACTCTGAAACTCACCTACAGGTGGTACCTAACACCAAGAAAACTAGTGCTAATACGCCCAGGAACCTCACCAAAATGCTGGAGAGGGTGCACCTCCACAGGCACATACCTCCGCATGTGGTGGGAGTGCCCCAAAATCCAACTATTCTGGATAACAGCCATACGAGAAATATGTAAAATAACTAAGCAAGTATTAGACATCACCCCAGAATTGGCCCTACTAAACATCTTCCAAGACAACAATGCCCATTTACACCACAAAGCACTCATAATTCACCTACTTTCAGCAGCCAGAAACACCATAACCAGACAATGGAGAGATCTGTCAGGAGTAAGCATGGACCAATGGTACCAAATAGTATGGGAAACAGCCCTACTAGAAAAATTAACCAATAAACTGAAACTGACACGGGGGCAAACAGAAGAAGACGCCTTTACCCCGGTATGGCTCCCCTTTATCATATACACAGCCCAACAAGACAATGACAATAATCCACCAACAGCATACAAATCAATATGGCTAACCTGATCCAAAACACCCACCCACCCCACTCACACATAAAAACAAAGATCACCACAGCCAATCACAAACAAACAACCACACCCTAGGCCAACCCCAACCTCTCACACCACTAAAGAAACAAAAATGAACAGCAGAGAACCTGCACGAGCTGACACCAACCCTACATACATTAAGCAAACTGGAAACATCGCCACCTGACGCCCCCATCTCCCCCCCCCCCCGCCAATGTCTCAACAAATGAAACTGATTTGTAAAAATGTTACATGGAAAAAATACGAGACATTACACAAACTTCTGTAAAACAAGAAAATCTTTAATAATAATAAAAAAGGTGGGATAGAAGTATAAGAAGGAATAAAGTATCTAAACTAGCCTATAAGTGAATAAACTACAGTATATTTTTAACTTACTCTCCTAATAATTTGTATATAAATTATAAAAGTGGTATATAAATTTTGTTAAACAAAAAAAAAAAAAGAGAGAGGAAATGTTCAGACTTTCAAACAGTATGTTATGCCTGAGCCTTCATTGCTGAAACTCCCAACAGCATTTTCATGCTCACAAACTTCTGATGAAGGCTTAAGGAACCATTGTGACATAACCTATTCAAGCAGAGTGAAGGGGCAACAGGCTGTCAACAGTGGCAGTAGTTGGGAGCTCCCAGGTATTAAAAAGCCACATAGAGTCTTTTCATACTGCCTGAGGAATTAATCCCTTATTTAACGTTCATAATTGCTGGATTGATTTAACAGGACTGGAGCTAACATTTGCTTGGATTTGGCACCATTGATAGGGAACTGCCTGCTGTGTCCTCCGCTTTGAAGTCACCCTGGTCTTTGGGCCTCCAGCACCTTCTTCAGCATGTCCAACCCATCTAAGAGGCGTCTGATGCTGGTGTTCTACTGGGTTAGGAAGAAGCCCCTGACAAAGAAGCCATGCTCTACCATCTCAGCCAAACCTTCTGCCTCTGCACCGGCTTGCAACACTCCTCACATTTCACCCTACTTCACGAGGAGCAAGACACAACCCGCTCCGCTCAGGAGGTCCAGCAGGCGCAAGGTGCTGCGATTGCCGAATCTCACCGACCCCATGTTTTTAAGATCTGTCATTGGCAGCATTGGCCAGAAGAGAGCCCGCAGGCATGGCAAGCAAAAGAAGACTCCAGCGGAAACAAGAAAAGGGAGGCTGTGCTGAAGTTTTCCATCACGTGGAACAAAAACTCGCGGAACTACCTCGAGGCTCAGGCAGTGGTGGAAACTCTCCTCAAGCTTGAGACGCCAGAGAGCCTCTTGCAATACGAAAGAATCAAAGCAGCTGTGGAGTCTCTCCTACCATACACAAAACGGCACTTCCAGAGGCTGGGCCGGTTACTGCAGGCCTCCATGTTTCTTGATTTCATGTGGCAAAACATGAAGCTGCCTGACGCCGCCAAGTGGCATGTGGGGCAGAAGAGCTGGACACTCCTGCCAAGTTGGCGCTGCTGCACTTCTCTCACCGGTGGAATATGTTGAATTGGTTTGTAAACCCCCCCACAAATGTACGTTTTTCATTTTGTAAAGGCATAAGTCTCACGAGAATATCTTCCTACATACATCCCTTCCCCATCCCCTTTAAAACTGAAATAAAATTCTTTAGCATACTGAAAAATAAAATAAATAAATAAATAACAACAGACATATTATGCTATTTTTGTGATATACGTATGACATGAGAAAACTATTTGTATGACATTATGCTAGTTTATAAAACACAATTAAAAAAACACAAAGAAAGCCCAACTTACTTTAGCTCTTTGGAAAAATAGACGGAAACATCCTCGTGGATCCACGTTACAGCTTTTGGCCATTTCTATAATAAACTGCATTACCACTGCTTGGTGAGCTACTTGTTCCATCAGAGCCCCTTTCTGAAAATAAGGTGAAATCAATACATAAGGAACCAACAACATATCCCCTTCATGGGTGTGTGTGTGTGTGTGTGTGTGTGTGTGTGTGTAGCTATACACGGCTAGCTATAATTAAGCTTATGTTATACCTAGGGCTGGGCGATATCTGATTTTCAACTGCGTAATATACCACCAGCTGAACATCGCAATATACCGATACAGCACGTTGTCTGAAATAAGGATGGAGCCATGCAAAGGCATCGGCTGGCGTCACGGGTTTTTCTGCATCGTGATTTTTGCCAGCGCCCGCTCTTGTGATTTGCTGCCTCTTGTTGGAGGCAGGGAAGAACTGAGCCGGCAAAATCAACAGGGGCTGCAGGAATCGAGAGAAGCCTTGGCTGGCTTTGCAATTTTCCCCACATTGTGATTTTTGCAAAGCACACCCACCCATCCACCCACACACCATGATTTGCAATATATTCCCAGGTCAAAAATTATGAAACCAAATCATGATATGGACATCAAACCAGTTTTGGACAATATATAGCTATATCTCCCAGCCCTAGTTATGGCTTATTGTTGCAAAGCTGAGTCTCACGCATTGCACAACAAGCCTTTTGAGAGTCAGTTCTCAGAGATAGGGAGATTTCCACGGGTCCATGGGGAGGAATGCAAGGTACCTACACATTTTAATCTCTTTGCAATTCCTACTTTTACATACAGATAAAAATAAACCGTATCTGAAGCCACCGGCTCATAGCAGGTGTACAGGAAGATCTGCTATTAGAAAAACACAAGGCAGGGATGGGGAACTTGTGGCTCTTCAGTCTAATTCCCATCAGCCCCAGGCTGACATGGCCAATGATCAGAGATCATTGAACTTCTAGAAAGCTGGTTTCCCCACCCTTGACGTGGGGTAAAGCAAAAACTTAATAGGCCCATAGGTAGATCAGACTCTTATCAAGTTGCAAAGTCTTAGGTTTGTAGACAGAAATGATTTGCTGTCCCATCATAGTTTGGTTGGTATTGTCTGAAGCCAAGCAAGTTTGGCATCTTAAACTGCTGGAGTAGATTACCGAAGAACCATATGGAAGCCATTCAAATCACACTCTTCCAAAGAGCTCAGGGTGTGACAAACAAAGCAAATTAGACAAAAAGAACCAAATCTGCAAGTTAACAAAGACATTTTAAAATAAAGGTGTGTCTATAGGACTGAGCTGAGTGAGAAAGCTAGACAAGCAGCTGCCCATTTGGGCTTTGTAGCACCAGGAACACTCTCCTCTCCAAGTGCCCCCATGGCTGGCATTAATTTTAAAAGTACGATCTAACACAACTGAATGGGAGGTGAATCATCACCTTTTAAGAGCAGCAGCAAAGCAAAGGATGGGTCAATGCCGTGAGGAGCTGCAGCTATCATGGTGCAATTTCAAAATGAAAAACTTCCTTGGCAGATAGATGCTTGAGAAAGCCAGTTCACAGCTTGCAGGAGGACAATAATAAACCTAACTGTGAGTTCAGAGCAAAAGGCCGCCTTAAAAAAATATACTTATTGTTTGTGAAATCTCAGCATGTAGTTTATTTGAGACTATATCTTTCCCTCCACAGATTAATGAAAGAGAAGATATGTTTATTAGTGCAGGGATAGTGAGGTCGTATTACACCTTTGTTTTACCCTCTGCTGATTTCTTGATGGTTCAGTCTAGCAGATAAGATGACATTACCATGCAGTGATAGGCTACGGGTCCTCACCAGAGCATTCTAGGTTTCAGAACAGTCTTGATGTCTAGAACCAGATGGAAGGATAAAACCGGAAACCGATCTATTTGTACACCTTTCTCCATTTCAAAGTAGGATGGCATGTAAATTATACCTGTTCAGCTTCTAGATGGAAGCACCATAAAAGGAGGTATTGAGCTGTTTCTTCGCAGACAAGGTATGGGTGCTCAGAGAGAAATCTCTGACTGTCAAGCCATCTGCTCAACATGCCTGGAAAAACAATGAGATGCAACCAAAGTAGTTCTTTTTCAAATTAAAAAATGGTCTTATGCGACTTGAGTTCAAAGTTGTCTATGAAATCACCATAAAAGTTAGCCATGACATGGTTCCCCCCCCAACCCAACTATGAATTTAACAGTGGTCTGATTCCTATAGGGTTCATCTCAGTCCCCTAAGGATGGCACTACTACCGCATAAAACGCAAGCCCAAGAATCCTAAGGACTTAAAAGCAAATTGCTTCACTTTCTAAAATGTGAATATACAGTGCTGGTGTGATATTACAGATCATGATAAACAGAGGCTAAGAAAAATAACCAAATATGAACTTACCAAAATGCCTAATCTTCTGCTCATGTTTTTGCATGAATGATTTTGATGCATCATCTTCCGTTTCTTTCCTTTTCATTTGATTAATAAAACTCTGGCAAACAGAATTTCAGTGTTGATTAATTATCTACCCCATCACAATACATAGCAAGAAATTATTACAAAGCTGCAATTGTTCAGGAGTCACTTATCAGTGGAAGATGTCAAGAGTATCTGTTGCAGAAGACAGATCATTCCAGATCACAAACAGGCATTGTTTGCATGGCATGTTAAGCCAACCATCGGCTCCTCCACAATCCTCCTTGCTGCTGCACCACATCAAGCTAAGTCAAGATTTGGCTTAGCGTGTTATATAAACAAGGACTTGTGGTCAAGCGCTTTCCTCGCTAACCATGAGCTATAGCCAAGAATAAATCTGGGTTACAGCTCCTGATTCAGACAACACATTTAGCTTAGCTCAGCCGCAAGAAGACTGATTTGCATGTTGTATGAATGCAGCCTTTAGCAGCTGATCAGTAGTTTCCCAAATAACTCAGTTCAAAGAAGAAACTATTTTGGAGGGCAGGTTGTGAGGAAAATCAGACCCTTTGCAAATTACTCCTAGTTCAGGTTGTGCATGTCTTTACAGCTTTTATTTCATAAGAGCTTGAATTTTAAAGACCTGGCACATGTGCTATTTAAAATTCCAGAGTGGCTTTCCCATTAACTAGTCTGAATTTGAATCATTCATTCGCCCCACCAGTTCAACCGTGCAATCCTAACCATGCCTACTCAGGAGTCCAATTGAATTCAATGGGGCTTACTCTCAGGTGGGTAGAGTATGTATTAAGTCTGCCTACGAAAAGTCAATGGGAACTAGTCAAGTTAACTCAAAGTAGTCTAAGCTTAGTTGACTTGGGAAACATACCCTGCTTCTCTGATACAAAACACATTGTTTGAAATCTGAATACCCACAGCAGCACTCTTTGAGATGATTTCTAGGATGCAGCAGAACAAGAACTTTAAGCAGCTCACTCCTATACCGAGTTAGATGTGCCTAAACCAACTGAAATTAATACAGTCATACCTTGGGTTACGAATGCTGCGGGTTGTGTGTTTTCGGGTTGCGAACCGCGCCAAACCTGGAAGTACCAGAACAGGTTACTTCTGGGCTTTGGCGCTCACGCATGCGCAGAAGCACAAAATGATGTCATGCGCATGTGCAGAATTGCGTCACACGTCGGTGCAGACGCAGTGCTGCTGGTTGCGAACGTGCCTCCCACATGGATCACGTTCGCAACCCAAGGTATGACTGTACTGGCAGAACTGTGGGTATTGGACAGCGTTCAGATACAGTACAGTATTAACATGTGTTACCTAACTTCTTAAAAAGTGCTCTGCAGCTTCTATACATCTTTTGTGGCTGTGTCTTGGTTTTAGGCAATCTGAATTGTTCCATACCTTATTAAATACCTCTTTACTAACAAAATCTGTATTCCACAGCTCCTGTCTTTCCTTTTGCCTTAACACCTCCTCCTTCCGCCGCCATTCTTCCTCCCTCCATTTCAACTCTGCAGCTTCAGTCTGTGCTTTGGCATTTTCCTGGTCCATGGACTCAGAGTTGTGCAACGCTAAACTGCCAAGTTTCTGCTGGGCTTCTGCTAAATTCCATTTGCACTCCACCGAACTCTTTACAAATTCCTTTTGCTGCTGACAAGCCAATTCAATCCCGTCATAAATCTGCGTTAAGAAAAAACCTTTTGATTATTCAGGAACAAAACAGACAAAATTTACACACAGTCTGTAGAGTAGACGAATGAAGAGTATTTTTCAAATGCATGATTGCCCAAGGCACTGTCTACAAAACAGATACATAAGAGGAGTGCTTTGTATCTAAGCAAAGACCTAGAAAAATGTGCAACCTTGTGTCTTCATTCCCCACATATAAACACACAGGGTGGAAAGTAACACTGGGCAAGTGGACTTCTGTTCAGTCAAGGATATTTCTCCTCCCAGACACAATCCTAAAAATCTGCTCTGGAGAGCTATAGGGCAGGAAGAAAACAAAGCAGATTGTGAGGGCATGCAGACGATAGCATGGAGGAGAAAATAATAATAATAATAATAATAATAATAATAATAATAATAATAATAATAATATTGAACACACTTACCGTATTTTTTGCCCTATAGGACGCACTTTTCCCCCTCCAAAAATGAAGGGGAAATGTGTGTGCGTCCTATGGGGCGAATGCAGGCTTTCGCTGAAGCCTGGAGAGCGAGAGGGGTCGGTGCGCACCGACCCCATACGCTCTCCAGGCTTTGCACACCTCTCCGCAAGCAGCGGGAGCCCAGCAGTGCCAAAGAATGCTCCAACTACCGCACAATTGCACTCATTTCACACGCTAGCAAGATTATGCTTAAAATTCTACAAGGCAGGCTTAAGCAGTATGTGGACTGAGAACTCCCAGAAGTTGCAAGCTGGATTTCGAAGGGGCAGAGGAACCAGAGACCAAATTGCAAACATGCGCTGGATTATGGAGAAAGCTAGAGAGTTCCAGAAAGACATCTACTTCTGCTTCATTGACTATGCAAAAGCCTTTGACTGTGTTGACCACAGCAAACTATGGCAAGTTCTTAAAGAAATGGGAGTGCCTGATCACCTCATCTGTCTCCTGAGAAATCTCTATGTGGGACAAGAAGCTACAGTTAGAACTGGATATGGAACAACTGATAGGTTCAAAATTGGGAAAGGAGTACGGCAAGGCTGTATATTGTCTCCCTGGTTATTTAACTTATATGCAGAATTCATTATACGAAAGGCTGGACTGGATGAATCCCAAGCCGGAATTAAGATCGCCAGAAGAAATATCAACAACCTCCGATATGCAGATGACACAACCTTAATGGCAGAAAGCGAGGAGGAATTAAAGAACCTTTTAATGAGGGTGAAAGAGGAGAGCGCAAAATATGGTCTGAAACTCAACATCAAAAAAACGAAGATCATGGCCACTGGTCCCATCACCTCCTGGCAAATAGAAGGGGAAGAAATGGAGGCAGTGAGAGATTTAACTTTTTTGGGCTCCATGATCACTGCAGATGGTGACAGCAGTCACGAAATTAAAAGACGCTTGCTCCTTGGGAGAAAGGCGATGGCAAACCTAGGCAGCATCCTAAAAATCAGAGACATCACCTTGCCAACAAAGGTCTGTATAGTCAAAGCCATGGTTTTCCCAGTAGTGATGTATGGAAGTGAGAGCTGGACCATAAAGAAGGCTGATCGCCGAAGAATTGATGCTTTTGAATTATGGTGCTGGAGGAGACTCTTGAGAGTCCCATGGACTGCAAGAAGATCAAATGTATCCATTCTTAAGGAAATCAGCCCTGAGTGCTCACTGGAAGGGCAGATCGTGAAGTTGAGGCTCCAATACTTTGGCCACCTCATGAGAAGAGAAGACTCCCTGGAAAAGACCCTGATGTTGGGAAAGATGGAGGGCACAAGGAGAAGGGGACGACAGAGGACAAGATGGTTGGACGGTGTTCTCGAAGCTACAAACATGAGTTTGACCAAACTGCGGGAGACGGTGGAAGACAGGAGTGCCTGGCATGCTCTGGTCCATGGGGTCACGAAGAGTCGGACACGACTAAACAACAACATGCTTCTAATAATCCTATATTATCCAGGACAGGGGGCAACCCTCAGTCTCCGGGGGGGGCAGGGAGACGGCCAAAGTGACGACGTCGGTGTGTGTGTGTGAATAAGGAGAGATCAGCAGCCAGGCCAAGCCCGCCAAGGCGCCTCGAGCGACGCCACCGAGCAAGGGAGGGGAAAGGAACCGGACCCCCCGCTGCCCCGTTCCTGCGAGCGCCCCTCTCGGAGAAGGGGAGCGAGTCCTTCCGAAGAGCCTCTCGGCGTCTCTGCCGGAGGAGCGGCTGTACCTGAGCGCCTGGCCGGGGGAGGCGGTCTTCCTTGCTGCCCCGCGCGCAGGTCCTGGGAGCGCGGCAGCCACAGAGACATCCCTGCCCCGTCTCAGCCTCGACTTCCGGCTTCTACTACAAGTCCCGCCGGAAGTTCCTGCGGGAGGCACTTCCGGCAACAACGCCGCGTCGCCGGCTTATGAGCTCACCGCGCCGCTGCCTCCTCCCGCCCCCTCTCCACGGCTGCGTCACGAGAAGGGGACAAAGCTGTCCGGGCGGTTGCTAGGAGACAGGGAGGGAAGCCTCGCGCTTGCGCGGTGGGCTGAGCCGGAGGCGCCGGCTCCTCTGGGCAGCTCAGGCAGCGTCTGCCGTTGCTATTGCGTCTTACTATTATTATTATTACAAATACATAGGTTCATAGAGTGAGAAGGGTCCACGAGGGTTATCTAGTCCAACCCCACGCAATGCAGGAATTTTTCACCCAACGTGGGACTCGAACCCACAAACCTGAGATGAAGTGTCTCATGCTTCCACTGACAGAGCTATTCAGCAGCCCATTAACAACTTATTATTATTATTATTACCAGTGCTTTTTTCTGGGGGGACACAGGGGTACGCATACCCCTAAACATTTTGTGAATCTTTGCACTTTTGTCCATTACTGTATTTATTTCCCCCGATTTGAACTATAAAATTGTGATTTTCTTGATTCCAAATGAGAGTACCCCTAAACATATATTATTATTATTTTGAAAAAAGCACTGATTATTACTATTACTACATAGGTTCATAGAGTTGGAAGGGGCCTCGAGGGTCATCTTGTCCAACCCCCTGTAATGCAGGAATCTTTCACCCATCGTGAGACTCGAACCCACAACCCTGAGATGATGAAGCGTCTCATGCTCTACCGAAGGAGCTATTCAGCAGCCCATTAACATCATCATCATTTGCTAGGGCAAAAGCTTTCCAGCTTGCAGGGCTCGGGGAGAAGGCAGAAAGGGGCCACCTGCCGGCGGGACCGGTTGTTCCATTGCACCAATTTCCCGGCTAGGACGTTTTTGACACCAAACGGCAGCCTGCCTTTCATTTCGGCAGAAATTCAACAGGTGATGCTCCTCCTCCACCTGCTGAAATCCTGCAGCTGTGCGAAAGGCGCATGATGAGCCTCGCCGAGGAAAAAGAAGCAGCTTGCAAAGCTTGCAAGGAGGAAATCTCCAGCTGCCTAGGCTCTTCTCGCCTAAGCAGTTTTGCTCGCGAGTAAACCCAGCCCCCGCCGTCAGAGGGAGAGAGAGGCGCCTGGGGGAAAGGACCCGAGGCCCTCCTCCCCTCCCTTCCCTCCCCGCGGCGAGCGAGGGACGCTGGAACGTTGGCGTCGCCATGGCAACACGACGCTTTCTCTCCCCCCCCCCACCCGCACGGCGACGGTGTGGCTGTCCTGGCGGAAGGAAGAGCCCCTCTCGCGCCCCGGAGGATGCCGCTCAAGGTGGTGGTGGAGCTGCAGATCCACGCGGTGAGGCCGGCAGGAGAGGGGGGATGTGCAAGGCCAGATGCGGAGAACCAGAAATGTAGCTGCGAGATCCTATCAACACGTGTTTGTGTGCATACACGTATATACCTTGTCTACATGAATGTGTGTGTGTGTGTTTGTGCTGAGGATGCCACTGGAGGTGGAGCTGCAGATCCACGCGCCAAGGCGGGCAGGAGAGGGGAGGACCCCAGAAATATAGCCCCCCCTCTATATAATATGTGTGTGCACATGTATGTATGCAGGTATATACATTGTGCGTGTGTACACATACACAGTTGCCAACCTAGCAGTTCGAAAGCACGTCAAAGTGCAAGTAGATAAATAGGTACCGTTCCGACGGGAAGGTAAACGGCATTTCCGTGAGCTGCTCTGGTTCGGCAGAAGCGGCTTAGTCATGCTGGCCACATGACCCGGAAGCTGTACACCGGCTCCCTCGGCCTATAAAGTGAGATGAGCGCTGCAACCCCAGTCGGCCACGACTGGACGTGATGGTCAGGGGTCCCTTTACCTTTACACATACACAGTGCTTTTTTAAAAAGGTGCCGTACTCACCCTGAATTAGTTACAATCAGTGCCACACTTTTAACATTTGAAAAAAGGTGCCAGCATTGCATACTCTTGAGTAACCCCAGGAAAAAAGCACTTATGTTTTTGTGTATATGTGTGCGTGTGTGCGTGCGTGTGCATCTATGTATATGTGTATGTGTATCTATCTATCAGCTATCATCTGCTCTTCCCTTTTTCTTTTTTCTTTTTTGCCCCTAGTTGGGAGAGGGAAAGTTGCAGTGGAAAGGAGGGTGGGAAGCCAAAGCCCTGTTTCTTTCTGCAAAAAACGCTAACTTATTTCCAAGGCAAAGAAGCCAGAGTTCAACCTTGATAGTGATGCCGTTAGGATTTGCTGTTCCCCAGTCCAGTTGGGGACGGGGTGATTGCCTGTGCTCTACACATGCCCAGAGGTTTTCTCATCGGTATGTGTGCTGTTTGAACTGTGTAAAGTTTCATCATCCAAGAACATTTGAAATATAGAGGAGAAGGCCGGGGGGGGGGGGAACCAACAGATAAATGGGGAGCTCCCTCATTTTTCCATATTCCACCCCACCCAGGCCTTCACGTCTCTAATTCAAAATCAGTCTTTGGTTACAATTGAGGGGTTCTCTGCACTATGGTTTAGAGTAGGGCTGGATCTCAGGTTATAGTTTAAAGAGAAGCCAGCAGCATAGAATGTAAACTTACTTTCCAAGCCAGAATATGTTATTGTTCTTACTTGTCCAAGATTCACTGATGGAGAAAAGATCACTGGAGATCGTGTTCACTATTTGAGCTCCCCCATCATGGTGTCACCATTCATATTAATGGTGAGAATGGTTCCTGCAAAGTTTTGTGCGCTAGCTCTTCCTCCTCTTGCATCTGCTTTATGACGTATGGAGCTGTGGGTTAAACCACTGAGCCTAGGACTTGCTGATCAGAAGGTCGGCGGTTCGAATCCCTGCAACGGGATGAGCTCCCATTGCTCGGTCCCTGCTCCTGCCAACCTAGCAGTTCGAAAGCATGTCAAAGTGCAAGTAGATAAATAGGTATCGCTTTGGCGAGAAGGTAAACGGCGTTTCCGTGCACTGCTCTGGTTCGCCAGAAGCGGCTTAGTCATGCTGGCCACATGACCCAGAAGCTGCTGTATGCCGGCTCCCTCAGCCAATGAAGCGAGATGAGCGCTGCAACCCCAGAGTTGGCCATGACTAGACCTAATGATCAGGGGTCCCTTTACCTTTTAGACCAAGTAAATGTTTGAGTGAATTCTGGGTCTATGATGGTGGTGCTCGGAGCTGGCTCAACACATTTTGCTGGCTGAGGTGGAACAGCAAACGCTGCCTGCCCCATTAAGTTATATATTTTGGCAACTGAGTTAGAGAATCCCATGAGCAACTCTTCTGCTTACCCAATGGCAGTAAAAATGATCATGCATGGAGTAACTAGCCATTTGCTTCCCTTCATAACCCTCAAAATTAGATGCCCGAGGCGGCTGCTATTTGTCATGCTACGTCTGTTCATCATTTTGCAGTTGGTGGCAAACAATCACGATGCGCCTTCTGCTTCTGTCTCCTTTCAACTGTTCTGATCTTCTCTCCCATCACAGGTCTCTTGTCCTGGTGTGTACTTGACGGACAAGAATGATGTTTATCTGCATGTTTGCATCCTGGGCCAGTGCAAGGAAACTGAGAGCCTTCGACCCATCTTCCCTCTCTTGTTCCACGAGAAAATGTGGTTTGAAAAGGTAACCTAGGATTGCGTCTTGCAAAATCCTTGCCTAAGATGTATTTATTATCTCCTCCCCCCCCCTTTTGAACCTAAGCACTCGTCTGTATCAGATCGAGAGTCTGGCTGAAGGCCAACAGCTCTGCATAGTCTTGGACACAACAAACGTAAATGGGTGAGGGGATTGTGATATGTTTTATCTCCATTTTGCATTTGCCATAGTCAAAAATGCCATGCTTGTTAGGAGGCAAGTATTGTTAACTGTGAGATGCAAGGCTCAGAGGCATCCTGAGGGAATTAACATGCTGCTGCCCAGTGCTACTCATGTCATCCCATAATAAGCCTTCTGGTAGGGGTTCAAGGCAGCACAGGGCGACACCTGACCACCCCCCTCCCCTCAAACCAGCCCTGTTCAGTGGGATTGAAGATGACATCCATACTCTTCTAGCAGGGCTTGATCTTGATCAGTGGCACTATCAATTTAGTTCACAAAATCTATACGCTTCTTGCCCATATATTGGAGTATTTTGGTGCTCTTTTCTTGGAATATAGTTGATGAGTGACTGCAGGTTCGTTTGTTTTATCAAGGAATCTGAAAGTCATAAGCACCAGTGGCATAGCGTGGGTTGTCAGCACCCGGGGCAAGGCAAGTAATTTGCGCCCCCTAACCCATGGAGCGCCCCCCCCAGATGTTGCGCCCGGTGCGGCCAGCCCCCCCTGCACCCCCCACGCTATGCCACTGATAAGCACACTTTTTAATTCTTGAGACTACTGTTCTTCGGCTTAATTCAGTAGAAACAAAATAGGAAAGAATGCATTTGCCACCAACAGTTGTTCTTTAATATATTGTATTGTGGGATATATTGAACTTCAGTAGGACAAAAGCATAAATCTTTAGAAGTGCGGTAATATGTACATTTCTTTAAATTTAATCAGCTGATAGATCAATATGTTAAAACTGTGTGTGGTATTCAACTAGGTTTTACTCAAAGAAGACCTTTTGAAATTAAAGGCCTTATCTTAGTCATATTCATTAATTTCAGTGGGTTTACGCTGAGCACAACTTCGCGGTTTTAATCACATGGAAAATGATTTAATTGGGTAATAGCTTTAATAACTTTATCCTTGTCTTTGCCTTCACTTCCGTCCTGTAGGTATTTGAAAAAGCTACAGATCCTGTTGCTGTTGTAGAATTGCTAGAAAGTAAGTTTTCCTTTCTGTTATCTGTCGCTGAAGGTACTGTAATTACTGCAGGTCCATGATGATATTTCCAATGCAATGGAAAACCATGGTTTCCTTCTATGTGAATGGGCTACATAGTCCTCAGCCTTGCACCGGCAACTCCCTCCCAACTTCCTCTTTCATGTAGCAGAGGATAAAAGTGAAAGTGTCTCCTTTAAACTAAGCATAGTTCCCTTTGGCATCTAAACTCAGGTAGCCGTGGTTGGAGAACTGTGGTTGCTCTAAAACTGGAAACGGAAGCTTTTGATCCCAGACACGAAGGAGAAGGAGGTGCATGCAAACTTGGTGTGGCTTGTTCTCCTAGCAGGAAACAATGGTTTCACATTGTGTTGGGTCCAACCAGTGTGTCACGCTTCATATTTATTTCCCAGAAAAGCTTGTGGGTGATGTATAGTTTTTGACCATTCAGGAGGGGCTTCTTCTGAACCGGGGAATATAGTGTTATGAGTTTCGGGGGAGGGTAGTCTGTATGCCTTTTTTTGTGGTGTTTCAAATCTACACGATTTCCACAATGCCCCAGGTAAATGGGGGGGGGGGGGTTGCCTGTATATTCAAAACCCATTGGGTTCAATGGGGGTAGAATTGCCAGAGTCTATCCCCCCAAAGCCTGCCTCCTTTCCACCCCCTTTTATATTTTACATTTTTATTTTTCCCCATAAAGTTGAAGATGCACAAGTTGCAGGCTTAATGCATAGTATAAATATTACACGTCTCTGTCATGAATAACATCGTTTGTTCCTCTCCTTTTAGGAAATGTAACAAAGTTCCGATTAGTCGAAGTGGTACCTTCAGGTAAACAGGAGAAACCTATTCTTCACAACTTCCATAAACTCTGCAATGAAAGAATGAATCTTGGATGATGTTGGGGTTAGACATGCTGATTTCTTTCCCCCCCTGTAGTGTTTCTGTATCTGCTGTTATTACTTACTTAGGAGGAGGTGATACGAGACAAAATGTATATGCCATTTTAATTCTGGACAAAATATGTCCGTCTGTGCAACTTTCATGGAAATTAGCTGGCTGGTGGCATTTTGTTGTACAGGAGAACTGAACACATGGTGGCAGAATAAGCCTTCTATAAGATTCAGTCCTAGATTTCTTAGAAAGCTTGCGGTGTCACCTTGTTTAGCTGTTTGTGTGACCAGTTTGCTCTCAGAAGGGCTTTCAGGTGATGAGGAAAGACCTTTTTAATTCTTAAAACTGTACTCATGTCACTGCATGCAATTTATTTCTTTTTTAACGGAATTTGGCCAAACTCAAATATATTTTAAACCTAATTCTTCCCATTCCCCACTGCTCCATAGTATATCTTTTCATTTAACTGCTAGTATGTTCAACTACACCTTGTGAGATCGTTTAAAAATTCACAACAATTAACTGATCCAACAGTAGGAAAAACTCAGTAACGTATGCAGTTCATAGCTGTTGTAGTTTTCATCTCTGAAGATGAGGGTGAAAATGTCAAGATCTTTGTTGTCAGGGCTCTTTTTCAGCCGGAACCCACCAAAACTCCTTAACTACAGGAGCTAGTTCCAAGTTATGAAAATCTAAGAAAAAAATTAATAATAATAATGGGGGGAAAACCCCTATAGGAGTTAGTTCCCACAGCACAACACAAATTCTAGTGGCTGAATTTCCTCTTACACCTCCTCCTCCTTCTCCTAATCCGGCTCACGGAATTTCTGCAGATGTGTTGTACACTTTGCAACAATGTTTCGTGAAGAACCGTGAGCAATGAAAATGTCCTTTTTTGACCTGCGCTGTGAAGAGGGCTTATGCTCCTTTGTGGGAGACAGGTTACAGTGTTTGCTTGCATTATCCTAGCACTCTTTCTCCTTTTGTTTCACATTTCAGGGAAAGGCGAGCTTGCATTTTATGAAGCGAATACTCGAGGTTTTCTGTTTCCAGAGCCTAAGCTGACTCCTGCGTATCCTGGTGTGGACAGAGAGTTATTAATGAAGACACGCCCTTCTTTCCCAGTAAGTGGTTATGGAATGTGTATCCCAAAAAACAGAAACATCTGCTCAGTAGCCGGTTCTTGCTTATGTCACAGTGATTCCTAACATGCAGTAAACATTTATCTTCTTTATTTACCTTCGTTTATTTAACGCTGGAACCATTAAGCTATGGGAACCATTAGGAAAACAGCTGCGGCACCTTCAGGACAAAACAGAATGCAGCCCTTCACAGTCAGAATAGGCAGAAGAGAAAATAATTAAGTAGCATGGTGTGTCTCCATTAGAAAATTACGAATCCCTTGCTGGCCTAGTCCTCACACGATACGGCAGTGCATGGCTAGCAAAGTTAAATCTGGTTCCTTGTTTGTTATACAGTGGTACCTTGGTTCTCAAATACCTTGGAACTCAAACGTCTTGGTTTTCAGACATCGAAAACCCGGAAGTAAGTGTTCTGATTTTCAAACGTTTTTTGGAAGCTGAATGTCCAATGCGGTTGTCGGCTATTGTTTCTGGGGCACCTGCACCAATCAGAAGCTGTGCCTTGGTTTTCGAGCATTTCGGAAGTCAAACGGACTTCTGGAACAGATTAAGTTTGGTGCTTTTGTTTTTGCTATTTATTTTGCGTTTTCGTTTTTGAGGCTTTTTCGGTTAATTTGTTTTTGCAACTGTGTGGAACCCAGTTCAACTACTGATTGATTGATTGATTGATTGATTGTGTGATTGCGGAAATGGATAAAAGCCCCCCATCCTAACAATGACTATCATCAGTGCAGGTAAGAAAAAACAATAATTTTAATTTCTATTGTAGCCTTATACTTTGGGAAGTAAATAAATATCTCCAGCACCTGACAATAGCCAGGCTGCCGAATTCTGCATCTGTTGTTGCTTCTTTTTACTCCTGGGGATTTTAGCTGTAGTTAGAACTGGCTGACGTCCTGTTTATTAATGTAAGGATGCTTGTTCATGTACAGGTACAGCAACGCAGCAAAGCAGAGTGGGTTGCATCACCATAGGTACGGCAGTGGCAATCCCATTATAAAATGTTTCTGCCACATATTAGCCAAATTTATTTCTTTTGAGCTGTGCTATGTAGCCGCTGTGTCGTGAGCGCTGGTCAAAATGTTACCACGCCGACCTATCGCCCTACAAGCCTCGGCCACTTCTGGTGATGGCAGCTGTTTTACAATGTTATGATTTTTTTATGATGGAACAATCATGTCTTTTCCCAAACAGCATTTGGTAGGATCTGGACTTTAATAGGTGAGTTTTAAACCCTTACTGTGCTGAAAGGTGCTTAATTATTTACAGGAATTTGACCCTTTTCCAAGTAAAAGACATCTGCTCCAAATGTTGGGATGCTTCTGTAGGATTGTGAGGCAATATCTTAGCTGGTTTTGCTCTCCTAAGCTTTCTCTTCTAATAGTTACATACCATATTTGTCACTTTCATGAATAAATGCATTGAAAATGCCCAAGTATTTGATAATTTATCTTTGCTATAACCTGGCAAAGATGTGGATATAGCAGAGACCTTTGGTAGGCATTTCTGTTTGTTCCATATTGATCACATGCAGCTATCCTAATTTCTATTAAGTACAGTGGTACTTCAAGTTAAGTACTTAATTTGTTCCGGAGGTCTGTTCTTAACTTGAAACTGTTCTTAACCTGAAGCACCACTTTAGATAATGGGGCCTCCTGCTGCTGCCGTGCCGCCGGAGCACGATTTCTGTTCTCATCCTGAAGCAAAGTTCTTAACCCGAAGCACTATTTCAGGGTTAGCGGAGTCTGTAACCTGAAGCGTATGTAACCCGAGGTACCACTGTACTCAAATGGTCCTTTAATTCTGTTCTTTTTCTTTTTTATCTTGGTTGGGAAATTGTTGACATACTTAAATGGGGAATTTGTTGCTTACTGTTTTCAGTTTTACTTATAGCACACTGGCCACCTATTCCTATGCGTGGTTTACTCAGGAGTAAGTGTCAATGACGCGGGTGGCGCTGTGGGTAAAAGCCTCAGCGTCTAGGGCTTGCCGATCGAAAGGTCGGCGGTTCGAATCCCCGCGGCGGGGTGCGCTCCCGCTGCTCGGTCCCAGCGCCTGCCAACCTAGCAGTTCGAAAGCACCCCTGGGTGGAAGTAGATAAATAGGGACCCGCTTACCAGCGGGAAGGTAAACGGCGTTCCGTGTGCTGCGCTGGCTCGCCAGATGCAGCTTTGTCACGCTGGCCACGTGACCCGGAAGTGTCTCCGGACAGTGCTGGCCCACGTTCAATGAATTGAGTGGGAAGTACTCCCAGGTGTGCATTGAACTATAATCTTGGCTCATTTCATACTTTTTATGAAGGCTTAAAAAAACCCTCACACATGTAAGCCTGCCTAACAGGCCAGACCTATTCATGTATACCTGAAGAACTGTCTCCACCCCCATCGTTCAGCCCGGACACTGAGGTCCAGCTCCAAGGGCCTTCTAACGGTTCCTTCACTGCGAGAAGCAAAGTTGCAGGGAACTAGGCAGAGGTCCTTCTTGGTAGTGGCACCCGCCCTGTGGAACGCTCTGTCATGAGATGTTAAGGAAATAAAAACTATCTGACATTTAGAAGACATCTGAAGGCATCCCTGTTTAGGGAAGTTTTTAATGTTTGATGTTTTATCACTTTTATCACTATGATGATGATGATGATGTTGGGAGCCGCCCAGAGTGGCTGGGGAAACCCTGCCAGATGGGCAGGGTATCAATAATAAATTATTATTATTAAGAACCAAGCTCCACCAAACCTAAGGGAACTTTCACCCATATGAATGAGTTTAGGCTGCAGTTCTAAATGCACTTGCAAGAGAGCACATCCCATTAAATCAAGTGGGGCCGGACTTATTTCCAAGTAACTGTGCTTAGGATTGCCTTGCAAAAGATTAAAATAGCAAAATCTATTTTAAAATAATAATAATATCTAACTGCATTTCTTTTACACAAATTTCTCATTCTTTTTTCAAATCTTTAAGGGCATTGCACCAAAATTAGAGTTTTCCACAAGGACAACTATTACAGAACTTCCACTTCTGTCCAGAAGATGGTATCGTGTAAGTAATTTTAGCTAATTAACGCAGAGATGAACGGCAACATCTTCAGTCGCACCCAATCTCTCTTAATATCTCATTGCGTCTAGTCTGACATAGCGGTCATAGCAATTCTGTATCTAGATAGTTCTTTTCAACTTCTGCTCAGATTATTAGCTACCTGGAATTAGCCCTAAGTAGCAGAAGGCTATAACCATTTAAACTTTTTATCATCCCTAAAAGTGGTACTCTTGTTCAAAGATGATTCGGAGCTAGGCGTTGTCATCCTCTGGTGGGTGCCTGGGTCTCACTTCAAGGAGGAGACAAAGAAAGCGCGGTTCAAGGTGTATGCAGTGCTTTCTTACTGGGGTTACACAGGGGTACGCATACTCCTGAACATTTTGTGAATCTAAGTTTGGCCTCGTTGAGGGGCAGTATTTCAATATGAGTAGGAAAATGAGAGTACCCCTAAACATTTTTTTAGAAAAAAAAACCCATACCACTGCATGTATGAGTCTGTCTTTCCGGATTGAGGCAAAACAAAGTTAAACCGATTGAACAATTTCTGTCTGATCTCATTTTTCAGCTGTCCAGTGAGATTGTAGCCTTATTGGACTTTACCAATTGGTAGGGTGAGCGTTGCTCCCAGACGGGAGGAAGGAAGTCAAATGACACCGAGGGTTGGTTCAGAGAAAGAGTTTATTCTGCTCTCCAGATAGCAGAAGGCACTTGCATGGTCAGCTCACAGCAAGTCCAAAGAAATTTCATGCAGTATATATATCCTCCAGACACCCTCTCCCCCCTTCCCCAGGAATCCAGCCACTTCAGCTTATACACGCAGGTTGACATCACAGATGTTCCTGCTCCGGTACTTTTAACCATAAAAGGGTGTTCCTCTTCCTGTACTCTTGACCATATAAGGGTATTCCTGTTCTGGCACTCTTATCTTGGGGTAAGAAGGTCACCAACTCTCCTGGCGCTGTTCCCGGACTAGGTCTGTGCGTCAGAGTGTGGTCTTTGTGGTCAGGATGTAAGATAAGACCCAGACGCGCCATCCCTGCTCCACTGGAACAGTCAAGGCCATACATTGCCATCACGGACTGATAAAGGAGAGAGCTTTGAGCGCTTCTTTATACAGCTGGGTTTTGGCTCAAGAGCTCAAGTTAAAGCATTTTAGAAATGCTCCCTGGGAGAAGGAAAAAAATGAGGATTTTGGGTCCCGTTTCAGACTGACCGCACAGAAACCCATTCCTTCCCCCTTCAAGATAGCCAGGGGGCACAACTTCTTGCTGTGTGGATATTTCCTCTGCCATACCTATTCCTTTCTATAGCCAGGTCTCCAGGCAGCGGGTGTAGATATTAATGTATTTTGCAGGGCAGAAATAAGAGCAGGTTGAGAAGGGCTGTCTCAGCATCGCCCCGGCGGAGGAGCATTTCACCGGCACGATGTAAGACAACAAAGAATAAGGGCTGTAGGCGATTCTCAAGATCATTCCCATCGCGCTCTCCTTCTCCAACAAGACGTCTCCAGGAGTTTTGCAGGGAAAGCCGGCAACAGACGCCTTCTCTGAGCTTGAGGTCTGTTAAGTTCACGTCAGAATCAGACCCCAGGCCGCCTTTTGTAGTTCGACATGTAAGTCCTGAGAATGTAACTTTTAAAATATTGCCTGGCCAGGCAAACTGGGCATTCATCACTGTTCCTCCCAGTAGATGACAAAAGGGAAATTATAGGGGTCCGCAAACGGAATGCCGTACAAAAATACTTCTGTACAAGGTACACTAAGGGTGTAAATACACTTCGTAGAAACAAGCAGAACCTGCCAATTCCGATCAATAGAAAAGTAAGATTTTGGAATGAATAATAGGGCCCAATTGCCCTATTGGACTGCTGCAGAGTCCAAATTGTTCACAACAATATCAATGGGATGTGCGAGGGCTCCAAGGCCTCCTAGTAGATTATCCTATGCATGGTGACGATCTGGAGGGGACAATACCATATTCAGGCCTGGATGCAGTCTTAAGCATCTTGTCATAATGTGAAATGTAATTCTGTGTTCCAATAAGCCTCCTTTCTCAGAGCACAGCGTAGTCTGCAGCCTGCCCAGAGACTTCTGGGCCCTGATATCCTGCAAGACCCGCACTCGAGTCTTTGCCACCACGGACACGTCTAGGCATTACATGACGCCGGCTATCAATTTAGTAGACTAGCAGGCTGGGAGGGACAAAAACGTGAGTGCTGGAACTGACCTCCCACGTATTGTCATAGTCCAGAGCACATCAAGCAAGGTGCATCAAGCAAGCGTTCGATTCAGCAGCGTATTCCATCATGACAGTTAATCCAGAAAAGTCGTTTGGGGAACGCAGCTGCTGTGCATTTATTTCCAGGGTATCGGGAAACATGCAACTATTTGAAATCAGAAAGAAACTTCTCTCGTGGAAAGTGTATTCCATATTAGTCCGTAACACACTTTCTTTTAACAGTTAGGTTGAATATCAGATAGCTTTAATAGCTAATCTTTGGTACTCTGATTCCAAGTGCTACTCCTGTACAGTGGTACCTCGGGTTGAGTACTTAATTTGTTCCAGAGGTCCGTTCTTAACCTGAAACTGTTCTTAACCCGAAGCACCACTTTAGCTAATGGGGCCTCCTGCTGCCGCTGCGCCGCCGGAGCACGATTTCTGTTCTCATCCTGAAGCAAAGTTCTTAACCCGAGGTACTATTTTTGGGTTAGCGGAGTCTGTAACCTGAAGCATATGTAACCTGAATCGTATGTAACCTGAGGTACCACTGTACAGGCAAACCTTGGAGACCCACAGGTTGAGAAAGGCTGATTTAGAAGGAGGTGAGGCCGGAGCAAGCGAATCATAGAGACCCCCAAGGCAGCCTTCCTTGTAGAGTGGAATTTTGGAATCGTATACATTTTTCCTTGTTTAATGAACCACTTGCAGCTATCCTTTGGGTCACTAGTTTGGGAATGACAGTCGTCTTTACTTTTTCCGAATATCTGTAATTTGGTTGGATTCAGAGTGCTCCTTCCATGAGCAGAAGGACCTGGGATCCATTGGACCCCCCTACAGGAGGAAGAGAGAGGAGAGTTAGGGGGATTTTTTGTTGATTCCCCCCAGGGCTACCTCCCACACTTCACAGGGGATCTTCCAGGCTTCCAGAGCAGATTTTCAGGTGCCTGAATTGCTAAAAGGAAGGAATTGCTAAAAATGGGAGCATCCCAGGAGCAGAATTCCACTCTTGGGAGCTCTGGATCCAGTGTTTTCAGTTAATTAGAGGGTTTTAAAGCCAACCAGTCAGTTTTAATTTAAATTGAGAGAGATACACATTAGGGAATATCAAAGGGACCAGGGAGGGAACCTTTTAAAAAATTGTAATGTTAATGGCAAAAATCGCAAGTATAGGTTCTTTTCCAAGCCTAATTCTGTTGTTTTAAGAATATTGTCTTGTTATTATTTCTTTGGTTTTTAATTTTTTTTTAGGTAGATTCTTCTAAAATGTTTTCTGAGCCATATTGGATTTCAAGTCAAAATACGAGCTCTTCAAGGAATTCCCACAAACTTCAGTTGAAGCGAGGTACTTAACAATTCCTTAATCTTAATTAAAAATGTGAACTGTGCTGATAACAAGACCACCATGCATGTCATAGGGTTCTAATACGCTGTGGGTTGTATTCTGTCACCATTACTCCATTGAATTGATGTTTTATTCACATTGTTCCATTGGTTTCGCAGGAAAGTGGGCTACTCTTTGGGATAGCATCCCAATATGTTTTGCATTCAAATCCTAAATCATTATTTCAGTTCCATGGGAATTCATGAGATTCCCCTCTCAAGTAATGGATTTCAGATCATGTTATAAGTTGCAGTTTTCACCCTTTCATTTGCCGCTGGGGTAAAGGAATTCTCCAGCACAACACTGCTGAGTAGTTTAGTACATAAGATACTAATACATTTTGTATTATTATTGTTATTACAGTCATACCTTGGAAGTCAAATGGAATCCGTTCTGGAAGTCCATTTGACTTCCAAAACGTTCGGAAACCAAGGTGCGGCTTCTGATTGGCTGCAGGAAGCTCCTGCAGCCAATCGGAAGCCCCGTCAGACATTTGGCTTCCAAAAACAGTTTGCAAACCGGAACAGTCACTTCCGGGTTTGCGGCATATGGGAGCCAAAACGTTCGAGAACTAAGCTGTTCGAAAACCAAGGTACGACTGTATTATATTTTTACACTGCCCTATACCCGCAGGTCTCAGGGCGGTTCACAGGATAAAACCACGATATAAAACACACAGAATCAAAATAAAAACAAGAACAACCCAATGTATTCAGCTGTATTCAGAGGCAGTTCCAGATTTAGTGGGCCCTCTTACCTCTTAGTTCTTTGTGCTTTTTATATGTGTGTGAGGTTGGGGGATGAAGGCAGTACCTTTGAGAGTGTGCAGAGTCCTTTCCCTTTCTCCAACATAACCACAGCTAGTTTCAAACATCCTGTGATTAGAAGAAGGAACTTTTAGGGCAAAGGCTGCTCCTTCCAGATATCACCACCCGTTTCTTACATTTGTGTAATCTGCACCTGTTAAACACACCTGCAAAGATTACTGCTGTTGATGTGCTTGGGAAATGACAGTTCCCGTGAGCGGACTAGCTGGGGGAACTATGTATATGGATGGATGGCAGTGAAACAGTTGGAGGCAAAGCAGCGAATCTATTTTGCTTGCTTATTTCTGTTCTATATTAGAAATTGTGTTGACAAACCAACCAACCAACCAATCCATATGAAACCATCATTGCATCTTTCCTCAGCCCTCTTTCCATATGTGATACATGCAATTGTAGGCATTGTTTTAATTCTTCAGAATTGATTTTTTTAATTTTTAATTTCTTGCAGCATTATCGTACGATAGCTGGAAGTCTGCATGCCCAGCAGCAAAGGTAATTTAAGAAGTGGAGTATGTAGCATCATTTGCTGGTTAGGTTATTGGGTGTATGACTTTAATAAGACTAGTTGCTTGCCATGGTAGTGCTTGAGGTTAGGAAATGACAAATACTTGAGGGGAAAAGGCTATTTATCGGTGTCTGGCAAGGGCACACAGTTCATGTAACTTTCCACAAGCACGCTTTACTCTACACTAAAAGGTATGTAAAGCTGGTTCGGATATAAGCCAGTAATGTGAGATGAGCGCTGCAACCCGAGAGTCGTCTGCGACTGGACCTAACGGTCATGGGTCCCTTTACCTTTACCTTTACACTCAGAGCATTCTGACTTAGCTCCTGCCTCTTTCTCATTAGACAGCAAAGAGAAAGAAACAAAGGACAATAGTCCTACATTCCAGAACACAGTAGTACAAAACATCTTTCTTCATCACTTCCCACTCTGTGGAATGAAAACATACACCGTCATGTGATAGACAACAATCTCATGACTGCAAACATGGAGCCAGAATCCTAACAGGGAGATCCGATTGAGCTAAAATAGGACTGCACCCTCCCTGAATGATCCAACCTCATGGTTTGGTGCTGTTTCTAGACCCAGTATCAGTCCTGGCATCTTAAGTTGGCAGCCATGGCCCAAGAGTGCATTTTACCACTATTGCTTGATCGGCAAGTTTGAAAACCTGGCTATTTGGACATTGGACGGCTATTTGGCCTTGGCAACTTCTGGTCTGAACTACGGTCACATTCCATGGGCCTCCCTTGGAAGACAGTTTGGAAGTTTTCACATTGTTCAAAACATGGCAGCCTGCTGACTAGCATGAGCACACCAAGAGAAGCACTAAATGTGTGCTTGGGGGGGTCTGCAGTAGCTCCCAGTTTCTCTTCAGAGCACAATTCAGAGTGCCAGGTTTACTCTTCAAGCCTTAAACAGCCTTGGTCTGGTTTGTTACAGAGGTCATCTTTCATGTGTGCCTCCCCTTCCTCATAGGCAAAGACCGGTAGCTGATGGTGGGGGGGTTGGGGGTTGGACACAGAGCATTGGTGTGGTAGACTTGGACTTTGTGATGTTAACCCAAAGTACCTCCTTCTATGTTTTGTTACCTGTGTTGCATTCTGATCCATGTGTACGACACACTCTTTTCTATGCCGAGAAAGGAGATTGAATTGACTTTGTGACACAAGCGCTTGTTCTGGAAGTGGTAGAAACATATATCTGAAGTACAGGAAATGATATTTACCCTTATCTTGTTGACGTGAAATGCATCCTCTAGGGGGTCCTTGGAGTTCTCTCCCTTTATAGACATCCCAACTCCTGGAAAACTGCTTTAAGGTTTTATTACAATCAAGTGGTAATTTTATTACAATCAAGTTGGAGGGACACAGGTGGCGCTGTGGTCTAAACCACTGAGCCTCTTGGGCTTGCTGATCGGAAGGTCGGCAGTTCGAATCCCCGCGACAGGGTGAGCTGCCATTGCTCTTTACCAGCTCCTGCCAACCTAGCAGTTCAAAAGCATACCAGCGTGAGTAGATACATAGGTACCTCTGCAGCGGGAAGGTAACGGCATTTCCATGCGCTCTGGCATTCGTCATGATCCTCCGTGTGGCAATAGCAATTTATTCCTGCTGGCCACGTGACCTGGAAAGCTGCCTGTGGAGAAATGCCAGCTCCCTCGGCCTGAAAGCAAGATGAGCGCCACACCCCATAGTCACCTTTGACTGGACTAAACTGTCCAGGGGTCCTTTACCTTTTGTCACACAACCACTCCTGTCTCCAGGCAGTGCAAGATTCCAGGGGTACCAAGCATGCTTCCCAGGGTCTGTGTTTCCTTTTGGACAGTGGAGACTATGACACCTTTATGATATATGGTTTATTTACACATATATACAACCTGCGTCTAGATGGAGAAAGTTCAGAGCATTCATGTCCCAAGAGGTTCTCTTGCTTCTCCAATAAGCAGAAGAGGCTTGAGTCTCGGAACAAAGAAATCAGCCAAGCTCTCTGCCTGTCCCAGCCAGCCCACATGGTTCTCCAAACGATTTTCCTTGCTTACATCATCCAAACTGAAACCCTACATCCCTTAAACCCTTTTTGCCTCTGCCCACTAACACACAGCTGGAGGAGGGGTCCCACCCCTCTTCCTCCAGCATATTCCTCTGAATTATTACTTTGTCATTTGGCTGTTTGTCTTTGTCTTTACAATCAAGTGATATATGAATGTTGTGAAATAATAATAAATAAAACTCTTCCTTTCTCCATAGGTAACCAGAGAGCTGGATATGCAATACAGCTTGGATCCTGGTTCATCATCACTTGAAACAAGGGAGCCTATTGATTTTGATTACTCTCTTTCTCTTTGCCACAAACCTTCATCTGACTCCTCAAAGCGCTACCGATCACCAAGCCCATGTGCGCGGTGGGCGTCTCCTCAACACAGGTGACCATTCCTAGATACTTAAGTGACAGGCGGCCAACATGTCTAGGCACCCCTGCCTCAAAAATTCCTGGAAGTCAGTCGCGGTGGCCGATGTTGCGGTTCTTATTTGCCATCCTATTTCCCAGGATCAGCTGCCAACCCTACGGAGCTGTCAAATTTATAATGCCACCATACAAATCTAGAGAGATAAGTGTATGGGACCAATGGCCATCAGGGACAGGCTTGAGTTAAAAACAGCCACAGCTTTGATTACAAGTTATTGGGGTTTGGTGCAGCATAGGTCAACGTCCTGACCTTTGGGCTGCCCCATCGTTGGCCGGTATCTCCACCCCAGCCTGTCTGCTGGGTGACATGGAGGAGTTGGCAACAGGAAATTTCAACCACAGCATGGGTTGCTTGGATGGGGCCCATGGAAACCTGGGAGTGTGGTCTCCAGGCCCCTCAGTGAGGCCAAGGCCTTAGTTCATGGAGGATACGGTCATCAATGACCGCTAGTCATAGAGACTGGCATCTGAAGTGGTAGGTCTCTGAATACCAAATTTTTGGTGACGCCACCTGGATTGCAGAGCATCCACCTCACTTTAATTTGGCAGGCATCCACCTTGCTGACGTTGTGTTGCTAAAAAGACAATTTTTGCATTTCCTAAGGCCTTTGGCAGTATTTGTTTTTTTTAATTTAATTTGCTGGCTTTGCAAATTTGTATAGAGGCGTGTTTGCTTTTTGGTGGTTGTGGAATTCTGTTCTTTTCACTGCGAATTTTAAAAAATTGCAAGCCATCCTAGAGACTTTCGTTAGGCAGGTGGAATAATTTATTTGAATAATAGTAAATAGGAGTGGTGGCGATTGAATGCAGAAGGTGCTAAAGTGCCTTTCACACACACTTTATTCGAGGCTTGATGGGGGATCTCTGGAGAATTATTAACATCCAGAGTTTCTTCCTTGTGACAAGTTTAAGTGACAGTTCTCTGCTTCTCTTTCATGCTGACTGGAGAACGCAATGCAATGATGCTGATCAGGAGAGATTAAGAAGAATAGGAGCTATGTTCCAGGCAGGCCCCATAAACAATCCTGACCTTGTGGTATAAAAATAGCCAAGAAGATCTGAGAGAATTCCATATATTTGGATTCCTTTGCCATTGCTTTGTCAAAGAGTTACTTTGGGTTCATAGTCAGCACTTTGGCAAAGTTGGCCTTCTCTGTGGAATTGTTTCATTTGTTGTTCGTAGTAGCAAGGAGAGTCATTCTACGGGTGTCTCTTGGTCCTAACTTGCAGAACATAGAGGTCAGAGGCTGAAATAATTCTCTGGCTGCCTAATTTCACAGCTGTAAAAGAGGTTCAGAGGGTTTTTGTGATGGTGGGGAGTGGAACTAGGAACTGGTCGCTACTTGACATTACTTGCGTTACGTGATGGGACTATATGGAGAGAAATCACAAACGCTTAGTATCAAGTGACTTGAGTCCCCTGACATTTTTTTCAGGATATATTCCAGCCCGAATTCAAGCTGGGAAGAGATTAACGAGAGAGTGAAAAACCTTCTAACTTCAGACGAGGCCATACAAAGACTATCCTTTGTAAGTATGATGTGCTTTAAGCAGAACTGTTATTGATTCCTCTCACTCCAGTTGCAAGAGTGAAGTCCTATAAAGCATTATATGGCTTTACATATAAAACAGGAGTAGATATACTGTGGTCTTCCATATGGATTGGTCTCCAGCTTCCAGCAGGCAGGGCCAAAGGTCAGGGATGATGGGACTTGTCATTCGTGTAACACTTCTGTCGACTTATTTATCTCTATTAAATCAAAACATTTCAGTCAACACTGGGGCTGCCATACGTCTGGGAATCGGACTGTCAAAATGGCGTCGGGGCGGATTTTTTGGGGAGGTGTCAACAAAGGTCAACGACTTTGTCCGGATTTTCGCTTTTGAGAATATGGCAACTCTAGTCAACACTTGTTAACTGAGCGGAGTTGCGGTTTAAAGTTTTAGCCAAAGTTGCTCTGGGCCAATCTAGATGGCACTCTGTTCAATGGGTGCCATCAAAAATGGCAGCAGCATGCCTAGTTCCCATCTGTCTTCCTATGTGCTGCAACTTAGCTCTGCGACATGACATCCCACCCCTCCCCACCCCCTCGATTTCATTGGTTGCTAATACTGGGAGACAAAGACTCATCACTTTGCCTAGATCCTGTGTCCTTTTAGATGTTCCCATAGTTACGTGGCAGCCGTTTTTCTATGAATGGCTCCTATGTGGGTTTTGTGGTGTTTAAATGACCCAACCAGATGGATGAGGATTGTTCATGTGGATTATGAGCGTGGGACCATCTTGAGAGTGCGCGGTGGCAACAGTTCCATGTGGAAAACGACAAGGTCTGCTCTTGCCCGCATTTGAATGTTGAAGGGATATTAAGTAAATGACAACAGACGTTGCGTGGGCAGGTGGGGAAGTCGATATGTGCATGCTGTCTTCAGCAGCTGCACATCTGGAGTAACATCTGCTTTGGGCTTTAAACTTCTGTGTTTCTTTTCCAAGCTGCCTAATGCAAGACCCAAAGCCGGACTCAAGATACACCAGTCCTCTATGACCTCAGCAGCTAAAGCCTACAGTAGCTAAAGAGGTCGTGACACTTTTGCCTATTCGGGAAGCCTTGGATATTGCCAAGATCAGTCATTTGGGTGATTCACATAGCTTGTGGGTTACCAATAATTATTAAAACAAACAAGCTCAGTTGGTAGAGCATGAGACACTTAATCTCAGGTGTAAGGGTATCGGGGTTGCTCGAGAGCAATCAGGCAAATGCCTCCCTGGTTTGTTGTAAAGCCTTTGTTATTGGTGCCAAAAAAAACACCCTTCACCATGCAGAGTGCCACTATTCCGTGGTTGGCTCATTCACTGGCAGAATCTGAGAGTGGGCGGTCCTTAAACTTTCCCCAGCACAGTAGTTTCTTGACGCCCAGTCTGCGCTTCCCCTCTCTGCGTGGAAGCTTACTGTGCAAGGAAGGCCTGGGTAAAGGGGGACCTCCCTCCTCCCCGCTTTGCTCAGGCAAGGTGTCCTGGCACCGCCTTGCATCCTCCGAGCCCTGCATCTCCTCTCCACTAGAGGCGTGGCTACCTTCCTCCGCTGAGGAAGTGCTGCTTCCCACGATCTTTGGGGGCATTGCCAGGGGTTGGACCACAGGACCCTTGTGGTCTCTTCCAGCTCTACAATTCTATGGTTTTAAACAAGCAGAAAGCTCCTCAAACAGCCTTCATTTTCCCCAACTATGCAAAATAATCACAGCAGAAGAATGCAAATAAGTTCAGTGCATATTTGAATTGCAATTTTTTTCTTTGCAGATATGCAATGCCTCAAACTTCAAAATGCAAGTGTATCCTGAAAATTGCATGCACACAGTTGCAAAACCCATAGGCACTTTTTGCACATTGCAAGGAACATAAATGTGCCTCTCTGCTGAGCCTTTCCCCCCTGCTTTGGTTGTCTTGCAGAGGAAGGAGCTGCAGTTGTGCACTCTGTGGGACATCAGAGCTCTATATCTTCACAGGTCCTCTCTGCCAAACATCTGATGGCTGGAAGGGGACCCGCAAGGGCCTGATGAAATCAAGTTGTGGTCCACATCCAGCTTGTGGACGGGGAATTCCCCACCCCTGATTTAACTCTACCGAAAAGCCTTTTTTTCTGCTCATAATATTTGTGGCCATTCATCTCCCCCTCCAGGATCTCAATGTTATGCCTTGTTTAAATCAGAAACTGCTTTCACTCACTAATTTCAAAGCTCCTATGATGGAGACACAGATCCATGTGAGTTAACCCAAAGTGACATTACTTGCTGTTGTCTCTCCAAGATGATACATTCTTCTAATGAACCTTAATAGAAAGGTACTTTGACCGACAGAGCTAGAGGACAGTGTCATACATCAGTTGTTCCCAAACGTGCAGCGATAAGCTTCTTTTAATTCTTCTAGAACAGCTGATATATTTGTTTTCAGCTAGGCACATTTAGCAGCGCTGATGACGATGAACAACCCAGGCTTAACGGGGCAACTATTTTGCAGGGAGCCACTGATTCCGAAATTGATGATGTCCTTGAAAGAAGGTCCATCTCTTTGAGGAGTTCCCCACTGTGTGACTCAACGGAACAAAGATACTGCTTGTAACTGCTGCCATTGGCAAGGTATGCTGCATAAAGACACCTCCTCCTCTCTCGATTTATTGGACTAGTCTATTTCAGAAGGTTAAAAAAAAGCACTGGGAAGGTTATATAAAGCCTGCTACAAATCGGTAAGACAAACTATTACAACAGCATTCCAGGCCCCGTAAGGTGCAATTCTCACACCGACGTGGGTCAGGCAGGATGAGAGTGATTGCAGTGGTATCTTGCTTATTGCTAGGACCATAGCTGTCAACTTACAGATTTGAAAATAAGGGACCAGCAGCCTCGAAAATAAGGGCTCAGCAGCCAAAATAAGGGTTTTTAGTCAACCAGCAGCCAAACGAAGCTTCAAGCGGTGGTTCCCACAGCGCAGCAACCCGGCAAAGGGGATGCAGCAAGGAAAACCACCTTCACCTCTCCGCTGGGAAGCGCTGAGCAAAGGCGAGTCCCCAGGCAACGCGGCCGATTTGATCAGCACGAAGCATGCAAGCTCCACCCCCCAGTCATTCTTAGACTCCTTATAGGGTGAGCAACGCAGCCAAGCAACACAGTTGGAGCCTCCCTCCTCCCTGGCTGGCAGGGAGGGAGGGAGAGGAGCTGCTTCCTTTGAAACCCGGGAAATTTAAGGGACAGCATCAATAAGGGACAGCATCGGGACACGGCACTGGGATAAGGGACTTTCCTGCCAAATAAGGGACGGTTGACAGCTATGGCTAGGACCTGTCTCGTGCTCTGCTATGAAGATGCCATTGTCCCTCGTGTTCTGCTATTCATTTAAAGAGCGTGCAAGAAACCCAGACTGGCAATGTGGAAGCCCTGCAGCTTCCACCACCTTCCACACTGTCTCACAGTCCGAAGGTTCTTCCTGGTGTTTAGTTGGAGTCTCCTTTCTTGTAACTTGAATCCGTTAAGTCTCAGATATTCAGCCTTTTTGAGTCCACGGCTCCTTTAACCAACTGCATTATTTCTGTGGCACCCCTGTGGGGCTCAAGAGTCCAGTTATGTCACCCCTCGCCTGCAGAGCTGGCAGCCTCTCACCCTTTTTCAAACACCCTCCCTTGTGGAGTGTCCCCTCAGCCTCCTCTCCCCTCTCCTTTTTATATACAGTGGTACCTCAGGTTACATACACTTCAGGTTACATACCCTTCAGGTTACAGACTCCGCTAACCCAGAAATAGTACTTCGGGTTAAGAATTTTGCTTCAGGATTAGAACAGAAATAGTGCTCTGGCGGCGCGGCAGCAGCAGGAGGCCCCATTAGCTAAAGTGGTGCTTCAGGTTAAGAACAGTTTCAGGTTAAGAACAGACCTCCAGAACGAATTAAGTTCTTAACCCGAGGTACCACTGTATATATATATATATATAAATTTTTATTAGTTTTTTTAACATATCATTTTCAGCAGTAATTAAACATACTTTTACATTTTATTCAATTTTTTTTGACTTCCATCAGCCCTGACTGAAAATTTTCCAGTCTAATCTCTTAGTATGCATTTCTTAATTTTCCCTATTACATTTCAATCTCATAACCAATATCTCTATCTTTTTCTACTTTGTAACACTTCGTATATTTCTCCTTACAAAACTACTAGCGTAATTTGTTGATTACAGTTGCTCTTCATGTAATTCATATACTTCTACCAATCTTCTGTAAATCTCTGGTCTCGCAGGTTTCAAATCCTTCCTGTCATTTTGTCCAATTCTGCATAGTCCTTTAATTTCGTCTGCCATTCTTCTTTTGTCGGAATTTCTTCTTGCTTCCTTTCCCCTCTCCTTTCGTGTGTCCAAAAAAGCAGCATATAAAATTTATTATAAATGAATGAATGACTGAAATAAACAGGACTGGCTAGCACCTTGCGCAAACTATAAATGGATGCATGCTCCAGAATCCATTGTAAAAGATGGAAATTCTTAAGTAGATGCGCAGAAGGTTTTCTACAATAGATTGTTAATAATGGTCCCTGCAACTGGACAATTGAAAACTACTTATCTAGAAATAGTTTAATTTGGTTGTGTGCTTTTTGATGTTTTATTTATTGTTTATGGCTACTTCTGCTATGTTTGTACTTAACATAATTTTTATATATTGTAAGCCGCCTTGAGCATGGTTTTAACTTCAGAAAGGCTGCATACAAATAAAACAATTGATTGCTGCTTAGTTTGCAGTCATAATTGGAGAACTGCATTCAGAGCAATGATGTTACTGTTCCTTGCAAAACCAAAACCAAAATAGAAAAGGATCTACAGTTTTGTCCAAGCACGAGGTTTCTCTGTAATATTTTATGAATTCCCCCCATCCTGTAGTAATAGACAATTTAACGCCTTTTTTCCAGAAAGAATGCAGCAGCCTTGGGATATCGACCTGAAGACCCATTGCTGGCAAGACTTTTGTTCTAGAGCTAACTGATGAATGGTTTATTTTCTGTGTGATGTTATGTCTAAATTGGTTTGAAAACAACACTCTGTATTGTAGTGCTGATTAAAGGTTTGATTTATACATTTTCAAACAAGTGCAGGGCTATCAGCTTATTGTGGGTTGATGTCATGATCCTATTGATGGTGTTATATACTTCTTTAAGATTTTGGCTGCTGAAAGTATTTTCCATGAAAAACCTACTTGGAATTATGTTACCACTCAGGACTGTGTCCTCAGTGTAAAGCTTAGTTTTAGAAATTTGGAAGCGAATACCATTTTGAATTGAATAAAGGCGAGGGGAAAGAGTTTGGTTTTGTGCTGGTAAGATGCACAGCAAACTTTGAAGAACCACTCTAGGATAAATTCAAGGTCCACTGAGCAGCCCTCTCCTGGCTCCGCCCAGTTCTGCAAACTCCGCCCACCCAAATTACAGGTAAGAGGATGCTACTGCCAGGGGTATTTCTGCTGGTTGTAGGCAGCATAAATCCCTCACCATTTATATTCGTGCAGCTGGCTCTTCCTGCCTAAGTGTAGAATGTTACATTTGCCCCTACTGAAATTCAGGGCCTCAAGGAGGTTAGACTGGCCTTGACCAGCCTGGTGGGACGCCCTGCCACAAGAGACCAGGGCCCTGCAGGACTTAGCATCTTTCTGCAGGGCCTGCAAGACAGAGCTGTTCTGCCAGGCCTTTGGTCAGGGCCCAGTCTGACCCCTCTCTTCCTACGAGACCCTATATATAAGAGGCCTCTCCAACTCATCTCACCAGCTCATATAAATAGCTGAGCCTGCGGAATACCTAAGGTTCCCAACCCCTATAGTCATAATTTGCGGGTTGCCTTCTGATCTTGTTTGATTTTAATCCGGTTTTAAGCTGTATTTCAGTCGATTGCTGAATTTTATGTTTTAATGTATTTATATTTTGATGTTAGCCACCCTGAGCCCGGTTATGGCTTGGGAGGGTGGGATATAAATAAGTTTATTATTATTATTATTATTATTATTATTATTATTATTATTCTGTTATTTTGGACCCAGGTCTCCAATCTGTTAAGGTCGTTTTGGCTCCCAATTCTGTCTTCAGGATGCTATTTACATTTTTCTTTAAAAAAATCTTTACAATAAATACAAAGATCCAGGTCTTGTTTGTCCCATTGCAGAAAGAAACAAAACTGCCTCTTTTTCCCATACAGAGGCTCAGTGCCTTTCACTGCTGTATAAAATGTAGAAATTTATGACATCATTTCCATGCTGTTGAAGATGCACCTGTTTAATTTATGACTGATGCTCAGCTGGAAAATGTAGTCTCTTTCAGTAGAAATGGAGTGAATCCTAACTCCAGCTTGCCAGCTCTGTCGTTGGAGGATTTTAAATCTGCATTTTTCATCTACATTATTCCTGATCCTCTAAAGCAGACATTTCTGATTTGACTTTGTTTTAGCAGACTACCATGAGATATTTCCCAGGATTTGCAAACTTAAATGCATGAATTAATCAAGAGCTAGCCAGAAGTTAAACTAATCTCTTTTCTATAGCAATGATGAACTCATTACTATTTCACAGCCACCGACTGTGTGGCGAACATCCTTCTCTCCCCTCAGAAGCACTGAGCAATTTGAAATATTAATGTTTTATCTTTTAAGTTCTGCAGATACAGCCAATTAAATTTAACTTGCTACATGTGGTTGCTGTTCAAAACCCCTGCCATGTTTAAATGCCTTTACTGCATTCATCACTGCAACAACATGTGTGTTCACATCTTGAATGCATAAATTCCTGCCATGTGAACCATCCACATGGGAATGGCCTTTTGGTATAATATATAACTTATCCTAAGGGATGCGGGTGGCTCTTTGGTCTAAACCACTGAGCCTCTTGGGCTTGCCCAAGGTCGGCAGTTTTAATCCGCTCTATGGTGGTGAGCTCCCCTTGCTCTGTCCCAGCTCCTGCCAACCTAGCAGTTCGAAAGCACACCAGCTCAAGTAGATAAATAGGTACCACTCTGGCGGGAAGGTAAACAGCATTTCTGTGCACTCTGGCTTCCGTCACGGTGTCCCGTTGCGCCAGAAGTGTTTAGTTCTGCTGGCCACATGACCCAGAAAGCTGCCTGTGGACAAACACCGGCTCCCTTGCCGAAAGCGAGATGAGCACCGCACTCCATAGTCGCCTTTAACTATCCGGGGTCCTTTACCTTTATAACTTACCCTGCTGCTTGCTTTAGAGTAAATTAAATGGTTCATTCTTAAATCAGATTCAGGCTGCAATCTTATACATACTTGCCTGCAAGTAAGCCTGTTCAATCAACCAGGTCTGCCATACATTCCTGGTCATTCCTGGGATTTCAAAGGCAGAATTGGTGACCTGGGGGAATTTCTGAAAGGAGGTGCTTTGTCCTGGATCTTAGGCAAGTCATCAAAAATTCTCATTTTTTGCTGTTTTCAGGTTTTCCTTAAAATAGCTCAGCAATTTTGGTGGTTTCCTTTAAAAAAAGAGCTCAACAATTTTGGGGTGTCCTGGTTTTTACTTTTTGAAATATGGCAACCCTATGTGGCCCAGCTATCTGGACAGGGATAGCCTAAATACTGTTGTCTATGCTCTGGTAACCTCTAGGTCAGATTACTGCAACAATTGGCTGCCAATGTAGTTTTGGTGCCCAATTCAAAGTGCTGGTTCTGACCTATAAAGCCTTAAACGGCTCAGGACCACAATACCTCAAGGACCCGTATGAGCTGTCCTGGACTCTGTGTTCATCCTCTGAGACCCTTCTTCATGTGCCTCCTCCACATGAGGTCCAGAGAGTGGCAACACGAGAATGGGGCCTTCTCTGTAGTGGCTCCCTGTTTGAAGAATGCTCTCCTCAGGGAAGTTCAGTTGGCACCTTCATTATATATTTTTAGGCGCCAGGTGAAAATGTTCCTTTTCAACCAGGCCTTTGCCTGATTAATATTCTACAGCCTTTTAATATGTACCTTTTATGGTGTGTGTGTGTGTGTGTGTGTGTGTGTGTGTCTGTTGCCAGCATATGTGAAATAACAGTAAAAACAGCAGTGCCTCAAAGACATGTAGAGAATGCATTTTTTCTTATTGCTAAATAGCCACAGCCCATCCCACACCTGGGATTAAGTAGAAAGGTTTTTAGGATTCAGAAGGTTCAGCTTCCCAGCAGGCTTATGGCTTATGGCTTAGCACACCCTGTGTTGGAAAAAGAAAATAATGACCTTGGACCACGCTAATGCCTTATTTACAGCAAATTGCTAAGACAAAAGTTATGTCTTAACAGTTGGAAGAGGATCAAAGCAATTTTCTCTTCAAATTGCTGCTTTAAATGATTGCCCACCCTTAGCACCCTGTAGGGGAAGATTTATAGAAATAGAAAGCTTAATGTGATGGCCGGCCTCTTTATTTCCGCTCTGATACTCCACACTGAACAGACATCGGACTGTAGTCTCCAATTCATTTCAATCAGTCGAGTTACTTAACCTTGGAAGGAGTAAAATTCCACATCACAAAGCGGGGCTCTCTATTCACACCTAGATTTCTAGAATATGCTAAGGGAGGAAGCAGAAATATCTGCCTGCCTGCCTGCCTTCCCTGCCTGTGTCAGGATTTTGCCCTGAAAATGGGTGAACAATAGCTCAAGCAGAAAATAACTGAGAACCTAAAGACCATGTGCAGTTCGTGGGCTGAGGTGGGTTGCTACTACCGCTAAAAAGTGCCTTCTTTTTGGTGTCAATCTGATTCATCAGCAGGGTCACTTTTAATTGGAGATGCAAATTAAGACCCATCTCTCTCTGCCTGCAAGACAGAGTTGTTCCACCAGGCCTTTGGCAAGGGCACAGCCTGACTCCCTCCTTCAGCAATCTTCGCGGAGCTCTGGCCCAATGGCTGCCAGTGGCTTGAATTAATTAATTTTAGAATGAATGATTTTAGAGTGTTGTTTATGCTGTACTTTTGTACTGTTTTATTGTTGTTAGCCGCCCTGAGCCTGGCTAAGGCTGGGGAGGGCGGGATATAAATAAAATTTATTATTATTATTATTATTATTATTATTATTATTATTATGTGTCACTGAGAAGAGAATGCAAAGGGAAATACGGTAGTAAAGATGGCTTTTTCTTCTTTAAATTACAGTGGTACCTCAGGTTACATACGCTTCAGGTTACATACACTTCAGGTTACACACTCCGCTAACCCAGAAATAGTGCTTCAGGTTAAGAACTTTGCTTCAGGATAAGAACAGAAATTGTGCTCCGGCGGCGTGGCGGCAGCAGGAGGCCCCATTAGCTAAAGTGGTGCTTCAGGTTAAGAACAGTTTCAGGTTAAGTACAGACCTCTGGAACGAATTAAGTACTTAACCCGAGGTACCACTGTACTCACATTTGAGTATTGCAAGAAAAAGGAAGGTGACCTGTGTTGAGCCATTCGGACACAGATCAAGCCAGAGTAGACCATAGCAATGAACTGTTTTGCTTTGAAGAAGAGCAAGACCATCCAATCTCCTCCACTGGATGAATGGGAGGTGGTTCACGAAGTTGGCTGAACAGCATGCTTTCTTCAGCCCGTTGCTTCCAGCCCTGGGTTACAGCTTCATAACTGGCTCATTTCTCCATTTTACCAGGCCATCGGGGAAAGGAGGGCTGGGAAAGGGAGCTTGGCTGCTGTGGTCAAAATGTGGTCCCCCACCACCAGACCTTGGAACTGGAAGGAGAGCATCAACTGGAGGAAGTGGAATTGGCTTTCGCATCTGGATGGGGCACTTGGGCAACCATGACACAAAGTTACTGCCTGGCACATCACTCACTGGTTGAATAAGCATGAGAAGATCATAGCCCTTCCTAAAGGAGCGGATGTGTTGTGGTGAGACCTGGAGACGACCGCCTCCTGTTGTTGTGGGTGACGTTGGATTGTTAGCCACAACACCCGATTGGATAGGTCCCTCGCATGTTGGGTTTGATCTGGCCAATGGGTGCAGTGTACAACCATGCACGTGACCCAGAGCTTCCTCTTTCTGTCATGCATTTGGAACACCACCCACCTCTACCTACTTTTAGGGCTTCCATCTTGAGGGGCTCGAGCCCCCTCAAAAAATTTTTG